TATGTTTTGAGCCTAGTTTATACTCTTTCTCCTTTCAAATTCACGTGCAAACCTATTCGTTCCGAAAATCTCGAATCCATAGATATCGAGGACGCCGATCACTGTAGATTTGCTGTAGCGCGAATTCGTGTCGTAGGCAATCGCCTCGTTTACTTTGCTGACTACCCAGGAGAATAGTCGCTCATAAACTGCCTGCAAACTTTTTTTAAACGAAAAAGAAGATAATGGGAAAACCTTGGCCAAGGCGTCTCTTGTGTACAAAGCGGCGTTCGCATCATGTTGCTTGCTAACGATGTCTTTTTGTGCAGCAACAACCTGAAAAAATTAAATTTGAAGAAAAAAAACCTCTTCTTAACAATATAAAATAACAAAAAATAAAACTCTAAAAAAAAAAATGAAACCGAGCGATTTTTCAATTCCAAAACTTTAAAACCCTGGAAAAGTTCTATCAACTTCCCTCGAAGTGAACTTACAATAGTTGATGGGAAATTTTTGAAGTATCCTTCAAATTTTTTAAAAATTCACTGATTTTTTCCGAAAAAGAACTAACCTGAGAAGTGAGGGCTTTGGAAAGTTGGTCTGACGTGACGCTGAAGCACTTGGCAGCGTGTTGCAAAGCATTCTGACAAGAATAATCAATATAAAACTTCAGTGAGGAAGGAACCTTATCGCGAACAAGGACACTTCCGGAAGAATCGCCGCCATCGACAAAAGTCACGTTTCCGAGGTGCAAAAGGCCGGCGACGATCGCCCACATCTCAAATCACTCATCACTCCTTTCAAGTTTCTGTAGTAGAGGAACCCCGTCGACTTCGGTTTGGCTGAACGTCGAGATTGATTTCAGAGCCTGTTGGACTTCGCGGAAATCACGTTGATCGTCTATCGAAGCAACCTAAAAACTCATGTTTGAATTTTGGTCAGTCTAATTTTTTCTAACCTTGTTCCAAGCTTCAACTTGGAAAATTTCTAAATGAAAGTTTAGAGCGACAAAAATTCTCCAAAAAGATTATATATCAGTTCGTTCTTATTTTTTTCGGAAGGAAAGTCAAGATTTTCACGCTTTTTTTGCATTAGCAGCCCTACACTAACTAGTAAGTTCACCTAAAGAATCAGTAAAGTTTTCAAATAAAGGTAACGAGACGACGAGAAAACAAAAGGCCGATACAAAAATAATCTACTTTTTGTAACAGGTTCCGTTTGAAGAAGTTTTTTTTTCCTCGGATGCTTCTTTGCTTGCATCAGCATGTATGCCTCACCTTGTCAGAACTTCCCTGATGAAGGAAGTAGAACTTGTTGGGGTCCCGGTGCAATTCGAACTGCTTCATGTGACCCTCGTCGAGGCCTCGGAGCAGCTGATAGAAAATGTGAAAGTTCCTTTCTCCCTGTTGCTGCCGGACAACTCGCGACTGAAACATTCAAACTCAATAACCAAATCTGCGGCAGAATCTGACCTTTTCGAGCAAATAATTAGATATGTTGCCTCCAACAGGATCTCCAGCATAGTTGAAGTTGATCTGCATGTACTTTCCGAACCGAGACGAATTGTCGTTTCGCGTCGTTTTCGCGCAACCAAAAGCCTCCAGAATGCAGTTCGACCGCAGCAACACGTTCTTCACTCTTAAAGTGGATTTAAAAGTTTTGGCTGAAAAGATTACAAGGGAAATGGAAATTTGAGGATTTGATGAAACTATGCAATTACCTTCGTTCTTTCTCCCCACGTTCATCAACCATCTACTGAAAAAACTGCAAAAAAACTTTTTCCTTGAAATATTCGAACGTTGACTACACTTTCCACAGCGCAATGCTTCTAACCACTACACCCTCACTGACTTCTGCAATGGCAACACCGCGCTTGGTATTATCTCTTCCTTACAAAGCCATTTCTTGCGTGCAAACTTTGAGGTTTTATAACTCCGCTTAAAGGCAAAAGGCGTAAAACTTTTTTTGTTCTAGAATCAGAGGACCTGGGAGTACATCTCAGCAAAGTTTCATCGAATTCTCAAACTGTGTCTTTTCGGACTTCCCTTATTAGATAATCATCAGAAGAAGAGAGAATTTGATTCTAACAGCGTCAAGGTTCAAGGAAAGCCGAAGTTTTGTTCATGAGAAATCAGTCTCAAAATTGGATACCGTGAATGGGTTAGATATCCGGAGTATTTTTGAACCAATTCTGCAGATTGATTATTCATTCAGAGACTTGGGCGAAACTTCAATGACGGCCTTAAAACCTAGGAGAACAGTGTGCGAAAAAAAGAGAAGAGCTTTTAACTTTTCCTTGAAGTTAAACTTTTTATACGCCATGTTTTCATTCGGAACTAAATGCCAAGAATCCCAAAAATTCAGTCCTCCGCCCCTGAAAAAAGGTGCCATATGGCAGTTCCGCGCGACTCCAAGGCGACTAATTGCCCATTTTTTTTCTTCATTCTTTCAATGACCTCGTCGATTTCAATCTCCTCTTGTCCGAAGAAGAAAAAAAAGGCGCAACGTGGCGTTTTTCGAAAAATTCGAAACAAAAAATACCGTTCAATTTCTCTTTGTTGCTGAACGTTTGTGATGGCCGCCAAGTATCTCATGATGATTTTGCTCGTCTCGGTTTTTCCTGCGCCGGATTCTCCTGAATATATTGTGAGAAATTGATTGAAACGTAGTGAAAACACTATTATAGTTATTGGAAGCTTTCTCTCACAATTGGAAAAAAAACCTGACCACTTACCGGAAATAACGATGCAGGAATCGCGGCCAAACCGCTTCATTGACCGGTAGGCCGCATCCGCGATGGCAAAAGCGTGCGGCGGTCTTTCATAAATCTCTCTGCCCTAAAGGTGTAAATTTTTGATCAAGTAGACTCCAGTACAAACCTTGTACTTTTCAATCGTGTCTTTTTCGTAGATATTCAGCGGTCTGTATGGATTCACTGCTATCAGAACTTCGCCGATGTACGTGTAAATTCTGCTTTTCGAGTACCTGAAAAACTTTTTTGACCCTCTGATTCTCACTAAACGACATAGTCGGTCTCAGTGCAGACAATTAAAAATTTGATTTTTTTTTTCTTCGATCAATCAAATGTTCCTTAAACTTGAAATAACACTATCGAAGCCCCAAACCGCTATCTTCATGAAAGGGACTAGAAACTCTCTATATGTTTGGAATGAGATTTAAAAATTTCGCAATTTGCTCTGCAGAAACGTCTTCTCATTCTATTTCAGGAGGAGAAAAATGAGTCACTATTATTTTTTGCGTGTTTCGCAACTCAAAGAAAATGAATCACTCGCAACTGTTTCTTCGCCAGAGTCAAGAAAAAACACAAAGGTGAGAATTCACTCAGAAAAAGAACTACAACTTTCTTTTCTAGTTTTCTGCTGACTTGGTTTGTTTTGAAAGTTCCACAGTTTCATGGTGAATTCCCCGTATCGCATAACTAGAGGAGAGGATTTATTGAATCATAGAATCATCGTAACCGGATCAAATCGCGTTCGGAAGGCGATTTGAGGCAGGCCTATGGGTTTCGAGGACCTCGCGAAACCTGGCAATCCCTTGACTGACCGATTTTTGACCTTGGAAAATTTTCCATTAAAAACATCTCACCAAAACTTGAGTCAAAAATCTCAACTTTTGGAAATTAAATACGGCGAAAATGAAAGAAAAACTCCGAATGAAAGTTGAATTTTTTCAAGACAGATTTGACTCAAGCTGTGCCAAAATGTCAACAGATTGTTCCCATCGGATTAGGCTCGCCCAATCAAAGGGACCCTAAAATGTGCTTAATTACAGCCATAAACCACCCGGGACACGAAATCCGCGTCTTATGTTTGAGGCCATGAAATTTGAGCGTTACGTAAAACTTAGAAAAACTTGAACTCAATAAATGAATAAAGTAGGTGGCTTAGAAGATACATTTACTGAAAGCCATTTTGTGGAAAAAAAAAACAGATCGAGCCTCTTTTTAGAAGTTTTTATATTGAATCGTTCACATAACTTTTCACCTTTTTTTCGAAATAACCAAATTTCTTTATTAATTTTCTATGCCTTTTTTTTTTATCAACCCAGCAAGGTTTTTGCAACGGACGGTCTCAAGACTTAATAAAAAAATTTCCTTTTTCTTTTTTTCTTTCTGAAAGAGCAACAACTTTTTGAAAAATTTTTTTACGTATTTTCCACAGTATAATAAAAGAAACCTGAGTTTGAGATTGGAGACGATGTGCGGGAGATCGATGGTGGAGAGCAGGACCAGGTCCTCGACGCCGTACTCGCGCGGATCGTGCTCCGCCAGCGCCATCTCAACTTTTCTAACTTCAATCGACAAAATCAACGAAATAATGAGCAACCAAGAAAGTTGTATAAGGCGCGAAAAAAAAAAAATTGGGCGTGGCACAAATTGGACAAATAAAAATTTGGCGGCGTTTGTGTGGCCATTTGAGTACTTTTCCTTGTTTGCTTAGGCCTCTGGCGGGTGTCTGTTTCACGCAATGAGTCTAACAACCGAGAAGCCAAGTTTGGGTATAGCAATACTTAAAGGATAATTGGAAGTTTAGCGAGAGAATATGAGCCTCTTCAAAAATCCTTGCCCAATTCTTCGACAGGGTACAGCGAAAACATTGATTTTGAAGAAGTACTCTACAGCAGAAACACAATGAGAAAAAAACTGATAGACATGGTCAAAGAAACGAATTTGCTGCAAAAATAATCAAGTGGAAAATGAAAACAGATATAAAGGTGGAGATTGCAATTTTTTTCTTCTTTTTTTGACCAACTTCTTCGCCGACGGATGATTTATAGAAAAAAATAAAAAAACAGAGAAAAAAAGTATTGTATACAAGCAGTGAATCTTTCATTTTGAGTTGAATAAATATTACTCAAACTATGACTAGCCGGATCGATTGACGGAAGTCTCAATGACCAAAAACCATCGGAAGCGAACCGAGCAGTTAGACGACATCGTGCCTTATGTTAATGACCAAATGGTCGTGTAGGATTTGAATAGGACGAAACGGCGGGTGGAAGAAATTCGAACGAATCGTGGGTCACAAGTGGGCGGAGCGCCTCTGCCCGGCGTCTTTTTGCCGTTCTTCCCACAAAAAAGTTCGAGTTTAATGGAGTGACCAGCGGGAGACTATCAAACGTGGTATACTGGATAGGTTTCCACAGGTTCAAATCAAAAACCCAGAAAAACTGCCGTACTTGAAAAAATAACACTGAAAAGCTTGCGTCAAAATCTCGACTGCTCTCCTTCAATTACTAATACGAGGATTTCTAAACAACCTATGGCTCTTGATAAACGTTTCAGACCAAAAAATATATATATGCTACAGTAATCAACGCGTTTTCGAGCTGGGCTGTTAGTGGAGCACATTGTGATTTCGCGTCTGTGGAAACTGAACTCCATTTAAAAACAGTGGGAAAATGAAAGAAATAGAACAAATAATGAGTTACTGATTAAATGCGAACCAACAAAAAAGAACTAAGAAAACAAAGTCATAAATATCGATGATCCAACTCTTCGAACTCGAAAATGTTGTTAAGCACAGGAATAATCGATTTTGAAAGCAAAGTCAGCGAAATCAAGCAAAAACAAAGGAAAACGAGCAGGGTGGAACGGAAAGGCAACCGAAAGCGCCAAGGTATTCAGTGTCGGCTGAAAGGTGTCGCCAAAAAAGCAGCGCAAACAGACGGGCGGCGCAAAAAGGTCGGGAATCGGATTCTCCTCGTTCCAAGTAGTTCGGCTTGTGCTCCGAGGCACTGACTAATTCGTCGTGAGACCATTGGCAAACACGCTTTCCTACTTGGAACCCAGGTTGCTGACGACTTGAAAGCCTGCCCACGAGAACAGTCTATCAAGTTCAGAATTTCCATTTGTAGGTTTTTCAACACTAAAAGAAACTTTTGGCAGAGAAGACTCTACGATTCGTTTGAATTCAATGCAGAATTTCTCCATTCAATCGGTAAAGGGTTGAAAAACGACGCAAAGTGTGGCATTTTCGAGCAAACAATGCCGAATTCTCATTCTGATAACGGTTTTCTTTGATAAGCAAAGCTCGTCATAAGTATACATTGACGCTTTCTATAGTTTGCCGTTGCAAAGAGTGAAAACAGAACGGAAAGACTTTTAAAAAAAAGTTCTCACCTCCTTTATTTGGCCATATGAGTCGTTTTTGGGGCAGGAAACGAGAAACCGTGAAGAGGACACTTCAGATTTGGACTCAATACGACCACTTGACCGGGATAAAACAATTGCATATCATCATGCTGAACATAACTTCAGTAAAAGAGATGAACAACTCCCCCCGCGAATTCTACAATTATGACTTATTCAACAAAAAAAAACGGGTTGTTGATAAGAATACATAGTGTCTGAAAAGATGAATATCGAAAAATCCTCCCGAATGAGGAAATATTTAGTGGATCGCGTGTACTGGAATAATGCTTAAAGAGCGGCTGGAGCAAACACAATAACGATTGACGCGCCGATAGCGTGCGCGCTAAACCAAATTTGGTCGAATTTGTCTTGGCGACGGGGCTCCGAAGAACACCCCAACAGCTGTCGCGAACCGGTTGGTTGTCGCGGAACCCTCAGGCCCATGCCATGATTAGACCACATGAAGATATCGCATCATTGGTTATCTTCAATAGAACTCTCTACTCTCTCCAGTACCGTATGATAGACATTAATGGTTGAAAAAATCCAAAAGAAAAAAAACTTCATAAAATATTATTTGATAACGATTTAATTCTTATCTGCAACTGAATCAGCTTTGTTCAGGCTTTTGCGAGGGGCCGGCCCGTCAGCCTCTCGCCTTAGGGCCCAAAGCCTGGCTTGACGCACAAGCCTGGTTTTGTTCTTAAAAATAGCGTTCTTCTTTTTATTGCATACAGCCTCACACCGAAATATCTGTGGGAACGAATATGTAAAAAAAGCCAGTCATATTTGAACCTGCTACATTTTTCAACTGATCATAACAAAAAAACGGAAAAAAATGGATAAAAAAAGAAAAAAATATATAATTTTTCTTTGAAAAAAATTGAAAAAAATAGTGGAGCGAACAAACGTACTCATCAACTGTGCTCCAATGACAACGAACCTTGGCGCGAAATGAAATATTTGAAATTGAATTAACGTTAATTCAATTTATCAAGCAAATTTTTCAGAATTTCGTGGCTTTCCTTTTTGATCGCTTTACATTTTAAGTCTATACGCTGGCGCCATTAAGCTTATTTTGGTTGATTACTTCATTTATGTATACCTAACTCAGTAGCTTGTACGTCTTTTTTTCTGCGTTTTGTTTATGATTCTTGTTCTACAAGATAATCTATCAAAAGCTTTTTTCATCTGAATTTATAGATCAGTACTTGCTCTCAAGCGATGTACGAGTCTGACCAGTCCGAAAAATGGTAATTTTTCATTGAAAAAATTTTTTCTCTCTTGTTCTTCCAGAGTTCAGAACTCCTTCGCGTCCCAAGCGATGTTTGGAACTTGGATCGTCAAAGAAGAGATTGCCATTAGTTGTTAAAAATACCCCAAAAAATCAGCTTGCGAGTATTTTTTACGAAGGTTTGGTCTTACTATCCATAATTTTTTGAAAAGTTCACCCCTAGACTCTATAGTCTGTTCAGATTTTTTTTTTCAAGCAGATAACTCCACCCCAAGGCTACAATATCTTTCGCGTTTTTTTTGTACAGATGACGAGGGCCCTTTAATGAGGCTGCATTTTTTTTTTTTGACTTCTTTTTCTATCTTTCAAATGGAAGAAGAGCAAAAACCGTCCCGCGCGATAGAACATCGACGCGAAAAGGTACCGTCTCAACAGAGGCGGAGTGACATTCAAAATCTAAACACTATATATTGTTTATGCAAATTTAATGGATTAAAAGACTTCTGAGAGAAATAAGCTGAAGCTCATTTTCATTCTTACAGAACCCAAAAGAGAATCGACCCCGCGATATCTGCAGGCAACTGAAGCGTTTAAGAGACGTGCACAGAGTCCGCTGCGCCAGACGCCAACTCTGCCGACGGCGCCGAGAACCTCGGTCATCAAGTCGGCGGACTTGCCTGCGCCAAGTACCCCCCATCGTTGTCTCGACGAACAGCTCCGCAAGTATCCCACTCCCTCTGTAAGAATTGTTCAATTTTGAAACAGTAATATCCGTCCTCTTAGCTGTGTGGATAAGGGCTATAATAAATAGGATAATCTTGTTCATTTCTTGTAAGTTCAGATGGAGTACTCTGAAATCTCGAAAACTACCCGAGTGGTGATAATATTTTGTTTAATCGTTAAAATTGTGCTCTACAACATATTTTACTAAGAGAAAAAGTTAACCCTTTTTTTCCAACGCAGCCAAAACCCAAATGGCGCAGAACAAGTCTGCGCCTAAATACTTTATAGACTACTAAAAATTTGAGAAGCGATTATTAGGTTGGTACCTAAATCTTCTGAGTTTTTTTTTAAAAGAAAGCGGCTAGTTTCATTTTATCTCTCTTCCATCCGACCACATGCTGCCATCGTGTTTTGATTCCGCTATCTGTTCGGAGTTCCTTTCTGTCCAGTTGAGGCTGTAGGTGGATGGAGAAGTTGTAGTCGCAAAGAGCGATGTGAGGACTGTACAGTGAAGGGCCAGCCATAGCTCCGCACCTCAGTGCTCGTGGCTCTCGCTGTAGGAGGCCTGAAGTTGCAATGTAGCCGATCTTTGGCGGATCTTGATTGGATATGAGCTGAGCATTGAGCTTTTGAAGCTGGAAAGAATGATTGTCGTTGGCGATATTGTTGTTGACCTTCAGTTGCTCATTCCACTCTTTGCCGACCTGAAGAAACTAGAATTTTTTGGAAATCTTTGATAGCTTTTGGACCGAACTAATAATTTTACTATCTTTTCAATTTCAGGGCCTGACGCCGAGGTTCCGCCAAATCACGTTCCCGGACGACGTTCCGCTCTACAGTGCTCGGAAGCAGGTAGTAGCGCTCATATCCGAATCAAATAGTTCAAATTGGTTCGTTTTTTTTTTTCAGAAGAAGAAATCTGTAGAGCTATGTGAAGCGAGTGAGCCGAAACATACTCGGTCCTCCCGAATGACGCCGTTTGAGCGCGAAGAATTTTTCCGTCGTCTGTCAGAGCCGAAGAAGTCACAAATCCCCAATTAAACTCACGAGTCTTTCTGTATAATGCTAAACCTAACCTCTCCTTGTTAAATAAATTTTCTTCCATTCTCGTTTTTTTTTCTTTCCATGTTGAAATCAGTTTCACTATCATCTTATATAAAGTTCAACGATGAACTGAAATACTTTATAGAGTTTTGCAGACTCACTATTTCAACGAAAAAAGGCTGTCATGGAAATTCAGAGCGATTTATTTTTTCTGTTTACAGTCTGTTCAAAATTACTTTCTAGAGGTCATAAAAGCGTAAAAATTTTGCATATTCAAAAAATATTAAAGAAAGGAAATCATAGAAAAATAAATAGATATTCATTTTTTGCTTGATTATATAAAAAAGTTCAACAGTAAGTCTAAAATAGACGTAAATAAAACTTTTCTGATATTTTTGAACTAGGATATTCTGAGACTCCACTTCATATCCAAATTCAAATCAGGAAGTATGGAGAGTTGTAGCCCGCGAGGTCATTAATTAAGCGCCTCGGGTCTCAATATGTCCCCTTTTCTGAGCAACGAGTACCGTTTAATTCAAAACAATTCGTGAAACGTTTTATTCTGCAGGAATCTGCGGAAAGTAAGATGGCCATCGTTGCAACTGACGTCCGACGGAAATGGAAGCCCCAAGGCAAGAAGGTAGGCGACTGGATCGATGTGACGGCCGCTTTTAAATGGCCTCAGCTGAGTGGGCGGAGTCTTTTTGGTGCCCGAAAAAGGAGGGAGAGACCTTCTGGAGCTTAGGATGAGTTCCAAGAGACGCAGACAATTTTTGTTTGCTTTTCTGTCGCTTTTCCTCACTTCCAGCTCTTCTCGATGTTGTTTTTCGTAACTCTCCGGGTTTTTGGTGGGTTCACATGACTTGGCAGGTGAGAAAAGTTTTGTCATATAGCTCTTCAGTTTGTTTCTCGGCGTCGTAAGAATAAATAGTGAGATTGAGTTTATTAATTGACTGTTTCAAACGGAAGCATGTCTCATCTTTTGGACTGTGAACATTGTCTCTCATGGCTGTCGAAAACTCGAAGTGTTTTCAGACTAAAGACGCGCTTGGGAGTTTAACGTAATCATTTATAAGGAGTACGGATTAACATAGTCCATTTATAAAGTCATTTCTGAATACCTTTTTTCATAAGAAGTAAGAAAGTCAAGAAAAGAATTCGAGGTAAAGAATTAATAAGTAGTTCGCGGCTATCTTTAGAGAGGAACTCATAGTAGAAAGATTTTCAACCGACTCTTCCAAAAGGAGCTTGATTTTTCATGGCTCACCTGCCAGCTTTGAAAAGATATAAAATGTTAGCTGCTGTTATTTGCCTACTGCAGGGGGGAAAAAAAATATATTTATCTGCCCGAACATTTTTTGTTTGAGCGCAGAACAATTTTGTTGTAAATCCCATTTAATCTCCACGTCATTCGTTTTTTGAACCTCCAGATGAAAATTTCCTCATTTCTCGTCTGTTTCATCGCAAATTCGTACGTTTTGACATCATCTTCCTTGATTTTCCCGCTAATATCTTTCTTTTCTCTTTATAACGTGTTTATATCGCTGGAACAGTTATTTCATTGCTTATCCATCTTTCAAATAACGCTCAATTTATTCCATGAATTTTTTCTAGGTTTTCGGTCGGTAGAAAGTTATGAATATTGAAATATCTCCGACCTACTTTTTTTGACCGTTTGCAAGAGATTCAGATGAATAACTTTTTCTTCCTGTGGGATTTATGGCCGGCTAACATTTTGAATAAAAAAAAACGGAAAGGAAAAAGCTTCCGAATAATGTTATGCAGAAAATTGAATTATTTACGTCGCTGCAGTAGTAATAAAACCGTGAATGGAGGGTTTTTTTCCCGCCCCAAACAGCATTAAGACCACTATCCCACGCTGTCAAAACACACATTCTTCCGTAATTTTGATGAAACGGGATTTTTCCCGCGATTTGAAGAATTTTTTCTTTCAGTTGAAAATTGCCCGCACCCGCACCCAACGTCGCTGTTATCTCCTAGATTTTCAAATCCTTCAATATTTTTTCGTATTAAAAATGTTTTAGGTATACTTCATCCACCTCTGGCTTGAGAAAAGGAAGCAATTGATAATTTTTATTTTGTTATTTAGAATTATCTAATAATATCTTTACACGGTTTTTTATACAGTGTTTTTTGTTCGAGTCTAGCGTTAGATGAAACTTATAATTTCAGACACGTACGAAAACGGGTTTCTCATTTTCAGCTATTTTTTTTCAGTATGCGTGATACGATAAAGTAGGCGGGGATGGGCGACAAGGTCATACTGACAGAAGTTTTGGAAGCTTCGAACCTGACAGAGGCCTACGTCGACCTCACCGCAAAAAGTCTGATCCAAGAGTGAGATCCACTTGAATAATGCGGAAAAACTACGTTTTTTTGTAGATTACGACATGTTGGGGACGACTTGGTGGTTAGGTACTCAAACTTGGATGACAGGACCGAGTTGGGTGAACCGGCGGACCAGCGGCCTGAGTCCGACGACGGCCAACGGACATTCACCGTCGACGAGGCCGTCGAAGCCCTGGGCTTTGGCCGGTTTCAGATCAAGCTCAGCATCCTCACCGGCCTCGCTTGGGTACTGCGCCTGCTTAAGACTGGAAAAAAGGAGATTTCAGATGGCCGACGCCATGGAGATGATGCTCCTGTCTCTGATCTCACCGGCACTCGCTTGCGAATGGGGCATTTCCTCAGTTCAGCAGGTTCGACAGTCAATGGATTTTATCTGAAAAATGAAGAAACACATAAAAGGGGAACCGTTTTTCTCAGCTAAACCTTTTTTTAAAAGGTTTAAGAAAGTAATTATTTCTTAGCTTTTTGGTAGATATAAAGTACCTTTCACACAAGAGAATAATTTTTAATCTAAAATTTATAATGTTCGATACATCCTCAACAATCTCAGTTCTAACTTGTAATTGATAGTTGCACAATGAACGTATAACTAGATTTCTTCGTACATTGCTCAGGATGTGCTGGCCGGAAATCGGCTCTTTCCTTTTTTTTTAAATGCTACTCGCAGTTTTTGTTTTCATTTCTTCTGACTCATGAAGTGAGTCAGCGCTGATATTTTAATAGCAATTTACTAGCCAACATTCGAGAAAGTCAGATAAAACTAAAAAGTTGTTCTCAGCCGCATTAACAGCTCGTTAGAGTCTACTAAGGAATAATTAAGAGAAAGACATAAAATTGGTCTCAATCCCATCTGAGTTCTCCCCTTTCTCGAAAAAAAGGGATGTTTCAGGCCCTTGTTACGACGTGCGTGTTTAGCGGAATGATGCTCTCCAGTACATTTTGGGGGAAGATTTGCGACCGATTCGGTCGAAGAAAGGTCTTTTCGCCCTTTTTGACCGTTTCCAACTGTTTCCACTCGTTCAGGGGTTGACGTTTTCGACTCTGGTAGCGTGTCTGATGGGCGCCCTCAGCAGCATGTCGCCTCATTTCTACGTCCTCCTTTTATTTCGAGGACTCACCGGATTTGGCATCGGCGGCGTTCCTCAGTCGTCAGTACTTTTTCTCAAATTTATTTGGAAAAGAAATTGTGTTGGTAAATTAGGATTTATGATGGGAAAAGATTCTTAACAAAATAAGCTTATTGAAGAACGAAAAACTGCTCATTAACAGAGCATATAAGCTTGGGAAAAATTCGAAGACTTGAGATCGATTCGTTCAAGTTTCAAGCGCGAAAAATAAAAAAATAATATTTATCAGATGAAATAGAAACGAAGTTTGCAAGTTTGTCTAGAACTTGAGAACACGTTTATAGATATTTCAATGATTATTTTACAACTTATTCATTGGTTTTAAGGTTCAAAAACCACTTCTTGAATGCAAAAAAAGAATGAATGGAACGTGAAGAGGCATTGAGATTTGAAAGAACAAGTTTTTCTCGGAGTGAACCAAAGACTCATCATCTTAACTTTTAATTAAAATCCTTTCTGCCCTCTTTGGATTTTTTTTTTCACTTTTCGACGAGGTTTCAAAAAAATTATTTAGACAACTTTTTAGAGCGCTTTTCAACTCAAGATTCGGTTTTATAGATTTTTCTCTGCTGGTGAAGATCAAAAGTAGATTAGAAGAAAGCTTTAATTTCTTACAAGTAGCTGTATGCACCAAGAAAGGTTAGAAATCAGAGATAAATTTTCGGCTATCTGCATGGAAATTATAAGTTATCTCAATTTTCTCCGTTGAGAAATGATTTGAAGGGTGACGCTGTACGCGGAGTTTCTGCCGACTGCGCAAAGAGCCAAGTGCGTGGTACTGATCGAGTCTTTCTGGGCGATCGGCGCAGTTTTCGAGGCCCTCCTGGCCTACGTCGTCATGTCGTGGTGGGGCTGGCGAGCTCTCATGCTCGGCTCGTCTCTTCCTCTGGGCATCTTCGCCGCTCTTTCCTTTGTTTGTCCTTTTTCGAACTTTCAAAATAAATTTGGGAGCGTCGGAATATCGGTTGTAATCTTTTAAGGATGATAACTGATAGAATTGTATAAAGTTGTACGTCTCCTCTCTTTTCCATTCTCCATATCTATTCCTATTCGTTGAACTCACTAGAAATAGTCTTGTTGTCACAAGTTATTAGGTGATTGCCTCAACGGAGACTAGCTCTAACAATAGAACGCACAAAATGTATAGTTTGTGTGAATAGACACTAGAGATCAAAACTCAGTAAGAAAAAAATATATAGTTTGTGTTTCCTATAGAAGATGAAACCTTCATTAAATTGTCTTGATGTGAACTTTTCAGATTTGATTTTGAAAAAGGCATGAGAGAACATTTCTGAAATGTCGCTAATATACTCTTCCATAGTTATCTATAAAAACTTAAGTCTGAAGAGACGTTTGAACTTCTTATTCTTGTAGAAATTCGGGGTTTTTTCAGCTGGCTGGTTTCAAATGACACTCTCTCTAAAAAACTTTTTTTTTCATAATGATCATTAAGAGTAGAATAAGATTTCATCTTACCTTAACGGAGGTAGTGCTATCAATTTTGAATGAAGAGGGAAAACAAAGAAAAAAAGATAAAGTCAATTTCCGCAGTGGCTGCCGGAATCTGCAAGGTTCGACATGGCGTCAGGCCATCCGGAGAGGGCTATGGAGACGTTGCAGGAAGCGGCGCGCCAGAATCGCGTCCAGCTTCCCATCGGCCGGCTGGTCTCCTCCACTCCTGCTGGGGTATCTTGTCAGAAACTATTTGAATCTCGAATCGAAAGCTTTTTCAGAAGGACAATCGTGGCGACTTGACGAGTCTCCTGGCTCCTGATTTGCGGAAGACGACTATCCTTCTGTGGATTATATGGTGAATAGTAATTAGCGAAGAGCGCTGTGTAATTATTGATGATAGAAGGTCAATAATTAAGGTTTTTGATTATTGAAAAAAAAACCGATGTTTCAACAAATGAAAAAAGTAACGAAAATTATTTATTTTCCAAAAAAAAGTTTTCACACTCGATTCCAGGGCTGTCAACGCATTTTCTTATTACGGTATGGTTCTCTTCACCACTGTGTTGTTCCAATCTCACGACGAATGTCATGGAGGTGGTTTAATCGGGGGTCTTCATACAATCAGCGATAATCAATCAGGTCTTTTCTCGAATGGAACGAAGCTGGAAACGTGCCAACCTCTGACGAGAAGCGACTATTTCGATCTGCTCTCTACGACGCTCGCCGAGTTCCCAGGTTCAATTCTGTTAGGAAAATTAAAAATAATTGAAAGATAAGGTAAGGGTAACTCATAAAAGTTAAAAATCATTGTTTAAAGGTAGAGACAAGAAATTTAACTTGAAAAAATGTATAAGAATCATTTTTAGCTTCTTATCTCAGTGAATTTCAGACTCGTTTACGGTACGTTAGGTCACTAGGAAAAGTTTATTAAAAACAGTTCCTGCCTGAAATATGAACATTTGCAATTCTTGAAAATTTGTGCTGAACTTTTCCCATCTTTCATATCCAAGTACCATGGTTTCAGTGGTTCAATTGCTAAGTTAGTGCATTTGAAATTAAGTTTTGGAAATTCAAAAAAAAAATGATCGAAAAAACTAACACGAACTTAAAATTATAACTTATTGAAATATACTTTTCTGATGGTATGAAAAAAAGACCAGCGAAAATTTCAAACGGCGACTTTTCCGATTTTTTCATATCGCTAGGGAACTTTCCGACGGCCACCTTTCCGACGGATCCCTATCCGACTTTTTTCCCCAATGAACTTTTCGTTTTGAATCTCCCTATATGAAGTAGGTAGTTTATTCATGATTAAATACAAAGAAATAGGAAAAAAAAATGTTAATATGTTCTATAAACCGAAAAATATAAGGGAAAAAGATTCGGCGGAAAGGTGGCCGTCGAAAAGTTCCCTAGCGATACGAAAAAAGTCGCCGTTTGAAATTTCGCTGGTCTTTTTTTCATGCCACCACTTTTCTCAGGTCTCATCATCACTGTCGTCGTGATCGAATGGCTTGGCCGGAAAAAGACGATGGCGTTGGAATTTTCTGTTTTCGCAATTTTCACTTTCTTGTTATATTTCTGTTTAGATAGGTTTTTTTGAGAAGGAATCTCCCCTTTTACTGTTTTTCTCTCAGGTTTACGGTAACAGTCTTCATTTTCGTAGCCAGAGCCTTCATATCAGGAGCTTTCCAGTGCGCCTACGTATACACTCCGGAGGTTATTCTTCTAATCCCTCAAGGAGAAAGTAAAAGTTTATTTTTCAAGGTTTACCCCACAACTCTGCGCGCCGTCGGCCTCGGAACGTCGTCTGCCATGGCGAGGATTGGCGCCATCGCGACGCCCTTTGTTGCTCAGGTTAGCGGCTGAGAAGTTCCTGAACTTCTCGATTATACAGGGATAACTAGTTAGGCTAGTAAAAAAAATCCGTTCGGATGAGTTCAGCCAATAGGTTTTAGAGCCGTTGGTTCAGTTCAAAAGGTAGCTTGGTCTACAAGGAAACAGTTTTGGATATTCGGTCATTTGGAAATGAAACTTGATTTTGAATTATTTGTAAATATACCATGAAGCAAAAACCAACTTGAGGTTGTTAACAGGGAAAAAAAATCTTATCGGAATAGCGAAAACAGGGTAGATGAAGACACGGATTTCTCCACTTTTCTTTCTTTTTTTTCGAACACTAGGTTTTGAGCAAACAAGTTCAATTTTCTTGTACTTTTGGACTTCATCTTCTATTGAACATGCCACCATCTTCTTTTTTTTCGACTTCAGGTTGCTTCGGAAACTTCGCTTTCACTGCCCATTGGTATTTACGGCACGGCTGCGGTCGTCGGTCTCATATCCGCCGTTTCTCTGCCCATCGAAACAAAAGGCCGTCAGATGACTGTTCGTTTTTCCCTTTTTACGGAACTGGCAATCACAATATTTTGAAAAATTCGGCTTTTTTCTCTAGAAAATGAGCCGGAACATCGAAATTAACTTTAATTCTCACAAATGTTCTCTTAAATAGCATAGAACGATCAAAAACCTCTCTGAAGTGTCAGAAGGATCAAATGCCTTTCTATAACCTGAAATAAAAAAAAGGCTTTTGCGCTCCGAAATTGTCCAAACTTTTTCTCAAAACCTCAGAAAGAACTTTCTAATAGACTATAGTACTGGAAATAAACCACCAAATCATTTTGCCTTTGTGAATTTGCATCTTTGCATATTCACGTCGACTTTTTTTTTGATCTCCGCCTCAGTCTTTGAGGTTTGGCCTTTCTATCCAAGGGCTCAATTTTCTCATTCGGTTTTTAATCAAGCATATTCAGTTGGTAATAAATAAAAGCAAGAGGATAATAGGCAGTTTCACGAAAAATAAATCACTACTTTGAATTAATCTCCGGACAACTGAACATAAAACATGTTACAGGACACCCTCTAATCAGCAAAAACAGGCGCAGGAAACGAGCAGTTCGAAGGGAAAAAAGATCTCCAATTTTGTTTGATAATAAATGGTTTCTGTTCACCTTTCCTCTTCTGCAAATGAAATGGTTTTTCGCCTCGTTTCAACTGCTATTTTGTAACGTGATCGTATTGTTTGTAATGGAAGTTGTCCGTCTTTTCGAAGAAAGAAACGAAAAGGAAATTGTTTGCTTCTTTCTTCGAGCTCCTCGAGCGCGATCATAGAAGCGAGAGCCAAATGAGGCGCAATTTGATAAGGAGTTCGCCGTGTTGTGAACGTTTCTCAGGCACTTCGTCCCGCGGAAAGGCCGGACTTGAATGGATTCTCTCATGTTCTTCTTTTTCTCGATCTACTTGGGCGTCACGAATTTGCATTTTTGCATATTCACGCCACGGCCAGCAATGTTATGGCTGCACGCAACGTTGGAAAAAGGTCAGATTCCTCGGAAAAAACTATGTTGTTAATTCTGCAGACGTCTTCTTCCGAACAATCGTTTTTAAATTTTCTCTTGGTAGTGGAGGAGGAGTTTTTTCACAGTTTCAACGGATTGGTAAAAGAAAAAAGCAAAATCCACCAACTTTTTGGATCGAGGGGCCATTTTTGCGAAAATTTACTTTTGAACGCCACAAAAAAAAACTTGTGGAATAATGGAAATTCTACTGTTCAATTTTCGAAATGGGTCATTTCTCGAAAAATGTCTGGTAATTGATTCAAAACCAGGTTTAGTTTTCAGTCAACCATTTATGATTGTTTACCGCTTTCTTTTACTCATTTTAAAAGAGAAATTGCCAAATATTTTCCGTATCAGAAGGTTACCAAGAAAAAAAAATCTTGGAATGATTTAGGAAATACAAGTAGAATGTGTACATGTTAAAGAAGGTTTTGCAGTAACTGGCGCATTTCTCAAAGAGCCTTTGGATGAATTGACAAGAAGATTTCTCATCGACTCTCAAACTTGAACCGTTACTCTTTTCGTTTCAAGGCTCTGTCCATGGAAGTATCTCTAATCTCATAAGTTTATGACAACTTATCGATTTGAATAAGAAAGCGACATATTATAAGTGAATGACGACAAACTGTAACAAGTTATTTTTTTCGATTCATAATCCGAAGATGTTGCCACTGTAGGAGATCGAACAGCAGACCTGCCGAAATTTTTTTTTTTTTTTTTGAAGCTTGGAAAATCGTTTGCCATTTCTATTTTAAACTGACTTTTTTTCCTCAATTTGTTCTTTATTTGAACTTTCTGTACAGTTTGGCTGATAAGAAGGCTTCTGCGAGCGACAATGGTGATAAAAACGGTGGAAATGATATCATAATGTTTTTGATCTCAGTGTTTTTCGAAAGTTCTTGATTTATGACACATTGGAAAATTTTAAAAGATTATCTATTCCTTGCACGTATACCTTAAAAAAATCTTTTTTTCAGCAAACATTTTCATGCTTCACATAAAGAAAGAGAATAGGAAAAGGCGAGAAATAAGTTCTGAAAATAAATTATCGTTAGTTTTTAGAATAAACTTTTGCAGTTCACTTTCTATCAGGATGACCTCGAAGTTACCAAGGTTTTCTTTTTGAATAAGTTGAATAAATTGATCCTTTAAAAGAGATCTATGTATTCTAGTGAAGTTTTCAGTTTTAAAACAGCCTCTGCTAACTTTTTCGCGAAAAGCTCTTCTTTGAAATTTTCGAGCGGTTCTCCTTGAGGTAAACTAGTTGATCCAGCCTTTTCCTCATTTCGAATCTTTGGTTGTTTTTGCCTGGCCCAACTCAAGGAAGTTTTCTATTTGGGGGCAAATCCCAGTTTATTGAAAACTGGTTGTCGCAGCGACCACGCATTTTTTTCCTCTGCTTTTTTTTGACAAAACAAAACAAATTTGGCACACTTTGCATGTGCGCATCGTCCTCGAAGAAGAAAAGAGCACCTTGAAGAAATAAATAGGCCACGCCTCCTGGGACTCTCCCTCCGGCATCGCTGCACCGCCAACACACTTTTTCCGCATTTCCCTCGGCGTTTTTTTGAGCTTCTTTGGCATAACTATTTTCTTTTAGACACTTTTAGACTGTTTCTCACTTTTTCTGGTTACGAACGACATTTTCTTTTTAGTTTTTGAGTTTCTTATCGAGCTTACTCCACTAAAATTGCAATGAATGCAGGCTAAAGTTGAATAGAATAATATGAAAATAATCATAGTTTTTACTATATTCATTTTGGTTCAAATATTTTTTTTTTCAAAGCGGTAAACGTTCTTATTTCAAAGAGAAAAGCCAAAGCATTGAAGTACCGGAAAATCTCGAATTTCTATGTAGTTTGTCAAGTGAATGTTTTTCTGTCATTTTCCAGTTATTTGCAGAGACTTGTACCTCGAAGTTCTGCATCGTGAGACCAACTGCTCGGTTCAAAAACTTTGAAGTTTGAAAATCAAATCTTCGTTTTTAATTATTATGTATAGTTTTTACAATTCAAAAAATGACAAACATTACAGAGTTCAGTAGATATTTTTCAATTTGAGCTTTTTTTTTGAAAGAGAATGGACTAATTTAATATTAGTGAGAGCCGTTGACCAGCATTACAGGCCATGAAAAACTTCTGTGCTTTTAGCAGCCCGTGAAGATTTTCGGACAAACTATACTGTTTTTAGTTTTATTGGTCTTCCATTGCTTTTTTCTCCTCGAATTTTATCTATTTTCTTCGATTCCCTTTTTTAAATTTCTCCGATTCATATATTTGGTCGGAATCAAAAATTACAACGATTTTTTCGTGAGAAAAATTCTAGACAGCATCCGCCAGGTTTTAATTATTTTCGTTTCCAAAATTTCTACTACTCATCAATATTTTGGCCCATTTCCTACTCTATGCTTACCTGACAAAAAAAAACCCTCGAAAGAAAACTGAAAACCTTCAAACAAAAGCATTTTTTCGATTCATTTCGTTTTGTTTCTTTTTTGTCGTTTCTTCAGTTTTGCAATTTTTCGGAAAAAGTGTTTGGAATGTAGCGTTTGCTTCTCTTGGACGAAAAAAAGTTCTATTCTCAGATGGAGCGAAAAGACATCGAAGATTTCCTACGGCGCTCCAACTCGATTTGTGATCACGTGAGTCTCTTTGATTTCATTTCATTTTGTCCTTTACACTCGATTATTTTCACACTTTTTTGTTGTCGTTGGCGAAATTCAACGGATCTTGAACGCAATAAAATGGCCCAAGTACGTGCTTATTGGCATATTGCGGCCGCTTAAACCCTCCCCAAAGCGTTTTTTGTGAGATTTCCTGGTTCATTGTCTCAAAAAAGGCTGTCGACATGGGGCTGATGTGAGAAAGTACTTCATCTCTGGATATTAGAAAGACATTCTGTATGCGAAGAGTCGTCTACTTTGGCAAATTGCAATTGTTGATTGGCGACGGCGACCGACTCGGAAGCGAGTTTCTCTTTTTGTTTTCCCACTCCACTTGTGCCGATTATGGAAACTAGGCGCGATGCAACTCATTGAGGTACTCCGACTCCCATCGGCAAAGAAAAGGCGAACATTTTGCCGCAAAAGGTTGCAAATTCTCTAGGAAAAGGCAACGTTTTTCATTGGGCGAGTTCTGGATATACGCAGAATAAATTGGGCGCGCATAATTTTCGAAAATATGAAGCGCAAAAATGACTCTGTCTAGTCAAAGTCCAATTCAAAGACTAGAATTTTTTTGGGTTACACTCATAGCTCTCAACGAGGAATATTTCTGCTGGGTTGAGAATCACTCCGAAACTAATATTTTTTTTCTAAATAAATTTTATAAAAAAACGCGCCAAATTGAAACTATATCGAAATCATGAAGATTGGACTAACACTTATTATTTAACCTTAATTTTTTTGCAAAAAAATTTTTTTAACGTTTTAAAAAGAAGCTTCATAACCCAAAAATACTTAGGTTCGAATTCGGGTTTTCAATATGGTCTTGCTTGTTTTCCAGCTTTTGTTTTTTTTTTTCTTTCTATCACTTTCAAAAATTCCTATTTGTGAATTTGGACTTCAAAATGACATTGAAAGATTCATTTGTTCCTTGACTCTTCCATGCGGCATTTTCTTGCCGAATCCGTTGATATCGAAAAAAATAATTAAAGAAAATGCCGAAAAGAACAATTGAATTGATGTAGTGACAACGGAGATTAGGTCTGTTGTTGCTTTGGATATTTCATCTCTCGGAAACCGAGGCATGACGCTGTTTGTAAACAACTCTCTTTCCTCATTCGCTCTATTCAAAACTTATTTTGAAGCTAAATTGATTGGCAGCTTGAATACGAGCAAAAAAGCGGAATTAGAGTCTGTTTTTTGGAACTGTGACTTCATTTCGTGAACTTCTTGGAGTTTTTATAACTTTGAGCTCAGGTTTCTCCGTAGTTTGAGATCCTCCAATTGTAATATCAGCTGGTTCAAGCTTAAATTTGTTCGCTTCGCACATATGACATCCGATATTGCCTAGGCCTAGTACATTATTGCGAGGGATTCGAAGAAGCAAAAAAAAAAAATAGCTCGGCATGTGGTCGTCCTCCTCCTGGCGATAGATCATCTGCACGAGAGACGCTCGTAAAACACCGTTTTGAACGCCTTTCCAGATTTTTGAAAAGAAACGAAAAGAAACGAAAAGAAGAAAATGTCCCCTCAGAAACAAGGAACTTCCGTCATGTTGTTGTGGTTCCACCTAAAAATGGACGTTTACCAGTAATTTCAGAATTTTTTGAAATTCCACCGACTTACTTTTTATGTACTTGAAGAACTTGGTAAAACTTTCAAGCTGAAAATTTAATATCTTTCTAGAAAAGTACCTACAAAGCTTGTTTTTTTTTTTTGGTATTTTGCTGGCGACTGAAACATTGAGACGCACGTTTTTCAAGAACAAGGAAGTTTTGAAAGTTGATACTTTCAGGGTTTTTTTCCAAGAGCGTTCTGGTCAATTTTCAGTGTTTATTACTGTATACAAAAGATGACCGTTTTTGTAAACCTTTTTTTACGAGTTTGGTTTTAATCACCAAAACTGAAGCGATAAAGCTCGAGAATCTACTGATATTATGCTGGAAGTGAGAGCTGAAAAATTCTAGAATTTGCAAATTCTTAATATTAAATGTGACAGAAATAACACGAAAACAAGCACCCGTTTCCGGTTGGAAGGAATTTGTAACCTGAGAAGCTTTGTGCACTTGAAAATGTCAAGTTATATGTAGAATTGTCGTCATTTTTCCGGGAGGTGGGCATAAAAGATTGAAACGAGGATCTCTGATTTTCTGGGGAAAATATTGAATCTGAGCAGAACGAAGGTCCGATGTTCAGCTTTTCTTTTTTCCGCATAACTTTCTTCAGAAGTTTTCTTCACGTTTGATGAAGCTTGTTGACACGGCCACTTTTCTTCTTTCTTCACATTCTCCCTATTTTGCGGTTTTCTCGGGCGGAAAGGACGTCACGACTAGTTAACTTTGCTGTTTGATCACTTTTGGAACGGAACGGTGATCTAATCGTGACTTTTTCTCATTTTTGCTAACGAAAGAAAGTGCTAGAGGTTTGAGCTCTGAACGCCACTGTCTGAAAACAGAAAGAAAAAGATTTATTTGTTCATCCATCCACGCAGTCGCTTATTATTTGGGAAAGAAGAGGCGAAATTTTTCTGGCTCGAATATATCAACGGAGGAAATATATGGGCAGGTTCCCACGCGGTTTGCCTTACGCGCTTCGTTGCCCGCTCACAATTGCTTAGTTCCAGGATTTTTCACCGATGGACGGAGAGGCAAGGAAACCAAATGAAAAAAGGCTCTGAAGAATGCCGGATCGATGCGTCCTTACCTCTAACCCAAGCCTGAGAGATAATCCCTAAACTCGCTCTGAAAGTGGCCAATCTCCCCAAGGAGACGTTTTCGAAAGCACAGCTGGAGTTTATGTCCAATTGGAGCACGTGAAAAGAGCTTGTTGCAAGGTGGTCGGACGATTTGTCAGCCACGAGGTCCTTGGGGAATTTTTTCTGTGGATTTTGAGAAGCTCTCGGACGTGGGAAGTGTGTATTTGTGTGAACAGAAGAACGCTTGGGTCGAATTAAGGGTTTTCAATTAAATCGAGATACTTCCGTTCGATCTGCAACAAGATAGGACCAGCCAAGCTTCAGGAAGCAGACTCAAATTGGAAAGAACCCATTGAAATAAATTGTAAAAAACTCAGAGGAACGCAGATTTATGAAGAGCTTATTCACAATTAGAATCATGCTAAGTTGACTTTTAAATCTTTTTTTTTGTCTACTGAAAATTTATAAAGTATTAGGGACTTTTTTAGAGCTTCTAAAGCAAAAAAAAAAACTGCCATTTTCGACGGAATTAACTAGAAATCTTCTCAAAGCTTCTGTCGGACCAAACCCCAGTGTCGATTGAAAATATTAAGTTTTTTCCATGATTGGATTTTAATTTCTCATAGCTAAGTCTCTCGGAATGCAAGCCTTTTTTGACCTGATATCCCTCCCCCCATACAAAGGTGATCAAACCTGTCTGAACCTTGAGGAATTTTTTTCTTTAGCAATGATTGGCTTTTTTTCCAGGAGGTCGAATCAGATGAACCAATCACGGTTCGGCGAATGAGCCTGGCCGAGTTCACAGGACTGGCCCCGAAGCAAAAAATATTGTTTGTTGAACTTCAGAAGTTTTCCGAATGAAGAAAGGACAATTTTAGTGACATAGAGGTTCCGACGTGGCGTTCCTCGGTATCTCAGTCTTCGCTTCTGAATTCCTTCTCCGCACGACGTCGGAGCGTACTTTCGACGGACGTCTGCGATTCTCCGTCACGCAGACTGACTCCTCAGAAAGAGGAAAGCCTTGACCTCGCCACCGCCATCGATAGGTTCGAGCGATCGATATTTCCATGTCACAATCAATAAAATTATCTATATTTGATTTTTTTTTGTCCGGAGAAGTATCTTTATTTTTTTTTTTGGGGTTTTGATAAGTGGCCGCGAAATGAATGTCGGACCTCGGTAGCGAAAACCAGACGCGGTCCGGATGTTTCTGAGCATTTTTAGGGGTCTTACTGAGTACTAACTTCTTACTAACTTATGAGTACTGACGGTACTAAATTGGTTACTAGAAAGTTCCCCTACACGTCCGAGTCGAGTCCTGAGGACGTTAAGACCGTCCGAATAGAGAAAATGAAGAAGAAACAAAGTTTGAAAAAATTACGAAGTTCAAATTTTCGCTTAAAAAATATACTTTCAGGTTATCTTCTCTACGTGAACGAACTTCGAATTTGGAAAGAGCCGAAGGCGCATTGGACGGCGTCGAAATCGCCAAAGAACGCGACAGAGCAAACGAGGCCATCGGTCGCCTTGCTCTTGTCAGTAGAGATATCAGTGGGTTAGTTCAGCAAATAGTTAATTGGGAACGTGGAATCAGAACTTCCAGATCAGCCAATGAGACGGTTCGCAAGGGAAGTACGCTCATCGGAGAGGTTTTTTCACTCTCACTTTTTGTCAAAATAAAAAAAATTCATTGTAAAGACATAGAAAATTAAGTTCGACATCCTTTTTTATGTATGAAAATTGAACTTTAATAGGAAAATTTTTTTGCGAAGTTTGGAAAAAATAACAAATAAGAATAAAAAATAATTCGAAGAGAATATAATGAAATTTACTGGTAAAGATCATGTTTTCTATTAAAAAGGAAAACTTCATTCAAATTCTAATATCACTCAACAAGTTGAAATCGTTTTTGTAATGTTTAATTTATATAGGATGAGCGAATTTTTAGGGATTTTAATTTCACCGTTCGTTTTTTAACTTTTTGTCTTACAGCTACCATGTCTTCTATTTAAATTTTAAATTTAAAAAATAAGTTGTTTTGATTTTCATTAATTCGCGTTTTTTTTTTCAGGCGACAGAAGCTGCGGAACTTCTTTTCGCCGCCGTCGAGCCGCTCATCGTCCACTCCCCGGTGTTCCTCTCAGAACTGATTGCGACCGAAGCCTCTCAGGTACTCCCTTTGTTTCGGATCAATTAAAATGATTTGATTCGATGGGAAACGATTGATTTTCAATTTCTTCAAACGTTCCAAGATCTCGGTGGTATTCGGATATATCTAGAGCGCATTTAAGTTTTAATCAAAGCATCAGAACTAGCCCGTAGAGTTTTGAGATTTTGTTATAGTCTGTTCAGATTTTTAATGTCAAGTGCAATGACGTCATTCAAAAACACTCTGTGGATCGCTCGCTCTCTGATTGGTTTATCGCACCATTAGGGGCGGGGCTTGAGCGACGACTTGACATTCAAAATCTGAACAGACTATATGCCGTGTACAAAGTATTCTGCGAAAGGAAAAATCCTCTCTAACTCTCCAAAATTTAGTTATCTTTTTCTTTCGCAGCTGGTTTCTAATCTTGATTCGCAGAACTTGATTCCGAAAAATTGGAGCTTTTCACACGTTTCTTGTCATTTTCCTCGAACCACGAGTTTCGAGGTGTTCCGGTCGCTGGCCGAGTTTCTGTGCAGCTTCCGCGACGACTCGCCGGCGACTTCTGCAGCGACAGCCCACGTGACGTCATCGCTGAACGTCCTCAACCGGGCGCTCGCTTCCCTCGACCAACGATAACCTTTTTGTGAACCTTCCTCGAGGCTACAGTGTCAAATCCCTTTTAGAGCTGACAAGGAAGGCCATTTTACTTTTTGGTTCAGATATCCCTGAAAATAGATTATTTCTTGATATACCAGATGATGAGCCGAAAAAAATTTTCCAGATTCCGAACTTTTTATTTTTTTCAAGAAATAAGGTTTCAAAACCGAAAAAAATCCTCTTTTGATGTATTGCTATGGTTTTCTTCAACTTTGAGACCCGCTTTTCTCGAAAAACTAGGAATTTTTTTGCAGGTTGAGATTTTTTTTCAGCATTTTACCTGTAAATAAAGGAGTATTCTGGTCAGTTTTCAAGTTGAAAGTTTCAACGATAAGTCTCAGCAGAGTAATTCAAATCCTTCTTGTGTGTATTATCACTTCGGAATTTACTTTCTGATTCTCAAACTTTATTATTTTTTTCTTGATGCCGATCTTTGATGTATCCACCGAACACAGGAACTTTAAACCCATCAAAGACAAAACGTATGAGAAACTAGCTCCTTTTTTAACTCAGATTCTTTAGCCGTCACTCTTAGAAATTTTACGCCTCTAGAGACTATGTCATCAAACATTTTTTTTTCTAAAAAAATTTCAAAAAAACTTGTTCCAAATTGAGATAAGTTCTCCCTGGTCTATGCTCTGTATCTTCTGTGATTTTCCGTTTCAAAAAGTTGCCCTAACCTCCACTCTGTATTGATTCCGACCGCTTCTGTACAGTTTTCTTATTCCTTTACTTTACTTGACGATCTCCGGTGTTCTCCGTCGTTTATGTGTAAATCCAGTCGAAGAAAACAAAATTTTAATAATAAATTTTTATTTGAGCTTTTGAAGGGCTTTTGCTGAGTTACACGTTGTTTTTTGTTTTTATTAAAAAAAGGTAAAATATTATATCGACCCCGAGGCTTCAGCGTTTGCAGATGAAGGGCCGGGAAACGAGGCAAAACATGTCGCTCCAATCGCCTTTCACGTTCACCTCCACACAGTTCTCGTTGTGGCTTTCGTTGTCCGGTTGGCCTCAAATTTTTATCTCATTTCCATGAAAAATACAGCTTCAAATCTGAACCTTTTTTCCACGCTCGGAATGTCGTTTTCTTCATGTCCGTGTTTACGAAAATGTTTTCTTTTTGAACGTCGTTAAGGCCGATCCAAGCCGCATCTCCTTTGATCAAGGCTGGAACGGTTAGACTATCAATGAAAAGTCAGAGGGAAAATATTTGGCCAAACTCGCTTCCCTAGATTTTTCGCAGTTGCCCTTTCTTATTTGGTGAAGAAAAGGATTTTTGCAAAATTTCCGCTCGTGCTTTGAAAAAAAACCAACTGGCAATAAATGAGTTCTCTTTTTCTGATTCGACAGACGCCAAATGGCCGCCCCAACCGACGCAGGTCTCTTCGGCATCGTACCAGGCCTCTCGTCTCTGAAGATGGCAAACTTTCATTCATTTTTCTTTCAAATCTTCAAAACTTCATGCTGAAACTCTATAAGTCACATCTTTTCATAACTCATTTTCCGAAACTTGAATCTTTCCGATTGTCTGCGTCTCTCTATTCTTTCACCGACTATGTCAGATAAACATGAAAAATGCACGGCAACATGAGAGGGTCGCCAAGAGACGAGGAGGGCGCAGAGAAAAAAGCAGTTTCAAATCGCGAAAAAAGGGAGCATATAATTTTTCACTAGAAGAAACTGGATGAAGTTCGTCAATCGAACCTCCATGTAGGCGTACTCCTTGCCGTCAAACTGATGGACACGAGCCGAAAGAAGGTCGATCCTTTTCTGAAACGGTTTCGAAAATCAACAAGGGACCATCAGGAACCAACATTGAACTCCCGATGCTCATTGTCGTTGCTCCGACGGAGCTCGTCCAGCTCAGCGGACAAAATGGATTCGGCCGTCTTCAGACGAGTTCTGAACTCGAATTCGATCGCCGCCCTCACTTCAGAGAGCTTCTTCTCGCATTTAGTCGTGATGTTTTTGATCAACTCCTCGGTGTTTATTTTCGGCTCCGAAGTAACATTCAAGGGAGTCGCCAAAGTTGCTTTGGGTTTCGGTCGCGGTGGCTGAAGAACTGGAGGCTGAGGAAACGAAGATGGAACCGGCCTTCTCCATGGCTTCACGTTGGATGAATAATCTAAACTGACGATGAAGTTCTAGTAAATGGCATATTTAAGAACTACATTTCAATGGAGCTTTGAAAACCTATATTGGAAACAAAATTTTCGCTTTTCGAGTCCAAAAAAAGAGGAATGTCTCGCGTTCAAGAAGGTAAGGTTAGCTTTTTTTGAAATGATCGAGTCGTGAATTTCTGGATTCATTTTTTCTATGGAGTAAAGGATGAATTGAGAATGTCTTTATAAAATTTATGCCATTTGAAAGATTTACAATTTGTAAGATTCTTTTCACTTCTCAGCCGGTATCAATAAAAAAATAAAAAAACCAACTTTACTCTTTTCTGATCAATATAATCAGTCGCAAAAACCACAAGCATTTAATAAAATAATGAATCGAGAATCGAAAAAGTGAGCGGTCGAATAGAGGAAAAATATTTTAAACTTGATTTTTGTACAGATATCATCTTTTTCCAATAAGCTCTGAAAGAAGAGATTTCCCATAAATCTTCTTTTGTTGGTTTGAGACAATTTTAATGAGGATCTCTACACAAATAGCGAAACAATTCGCTCACAAAAACAAAAAAGAAGTATAACCTGAAGGAGAATGGGACCTTCTTGCTGCGTAAATGGTTTGACCAGGAGAGAAGCCGCCCAGTTCGTGAGTGAATGGCGGAAAAACCGTCGGCGCTGAATCATTAAATCTTCTCTCGAACTCCACGAAATATACCAGTTGGGAGAGATCTGCCGCCACGGTCAGACCTGACCTGTTGGGTGGAAAAGCCACACTGCGACAGCGTCTCTCGTAAACAGCGAATTTCTCCGGCCCAGTTATGACCGAAGCCCGAGCAAGGCTCTTCATAGCTCAGGTTGGGTGCAGCCGTCGCTTCGAAAGGCCGGAAAACTGCCGATTCTCCTAACCGGAACGCCGTGAGAAGGATTAGTAGAATGGACATGATAATCAGCCAAGAAATCGAGTGAGACTTCTGAAAAAATTTCTGCAATGAATGAGGAAGAGGAAAATTTCAACAAAAACGGAGTGGAATCAAGCTCAACTCAAAAATGTGTGGCCGCACGTAGAATGACTCGAAGCGTTACGGTTGCGAAGCGGTTTTTGCAAGCAGCGTCTGACCATAAACTACTCCCGCTTGATGATACCAGGAAGTATTAGAGAAAGCTATGAAATATCAATCGGTTCTAGAAAATCGTTGAGCCATTTCTATGTGCGACCACGGTTTCTAGTCAAAGCGAGGGAAGTATGAATGGCCTTAAGTAAGAATTTATTGAAAAGCTCCGCCTAGGAAAAGAAAATAATTTATATTGCTCTCTCTCCATCACGTTTTTTGAAGCAAATCTTCGTTAAAGCTATTCCTGTGGACATCGAGATGAAGAAGTGGAAAAATATTCAACGCGCAATAAAATTAAAATAATCATAAAGTTTTTTTAAAATAACTATACAAGAAATAAAAATTGCCTTTTTCTTCTCACAAAAGCACCAAACAAACTATTCCAGTGGACAGGACAAAAAATCTGAAAAATTGATGTCTGGCCGCTTCGAGAGCAATAAAAATCAAAGTACATCGAGGCCATTTTATAGTGGACTAGCTTTTTCTTCATAAAAAAAGAGTATATATTTTCTCTTTGACTACAAAAAGTAAAGCTGGGAGCAGCTGGCGGGACCAGATGTCGGAGATTTGTTTTTTCGAACAAATTTGGTTGGAAATAGCCAGGTCCATGGACTTGGCCGAGTCATATGTCGTTCTCTGACATTTCTACGCAATCAGTCAAGCTAGACATTCCAGAACCTGCGGATAGGAGAAAGTACTACTGTTTTTTGAGGTTTCCAGAGTTTGGAAGGCAAAAAAGTAAATGGTTACGCGGTCATATACTTTTCAAAAGAAACGTAAATCTACTTTGGTTTCTATAGTTTTTTAAAAAAGGACGCTTAATTTTTTCCTTAAAAAGACTTGGTTGCATAAAGTCTTTATAGGACATCAAGAAAAATTTCTCGAAAAAAATAAGTTAATATAAATTTTTAAGACAGTTTAAAGCTCGCTTGACGGAAAATTCAAACTACTAGGAAACGTTTGAGAAAAGTTTTGGAAGGATTAATTTTGCGTATAAAGATAGCCCCTCAGACACACGAGAAACCAGCAAAAAATTGGGTATATTTGTTTAAAGAACAAAGACGACAGAAAATCCAGGAAAAATGAGAGATTTTCCTCAATCACGTTAACAACGAAATGAAGTTTGCGAGCCCTGGGGCCATTTATTTTCCGGATCAGTCTGAAGGAGATCCAGTAAATCACAGATCTCGGCGTCTGTTTGCCTCATTTTTCATGCGTTTGCTGCCCTCACTGACTGTTTCTCGGGTACATTTAGTGCCCTCTTCTCGATAAGTTTAGATTCTCCTGATTTTAAAGTGGGGACAGGGATGATGACGAAAAACTTGGAAAAATAGTATCTTTGCATAAACATATCGGGACTTACGTTTATTTCCCATCAAAAAAGTGTGATTAGAAACACTTCTCACCAAAAACCACTCCTGGTCAGTTGCTAAAAGTGATTTCTATTGTCTGAAAACTCATGCGCTCGACTTCAAAAAAAAAAAATGATAGATGATGTGTGGGAATCCGGCTGGTGTAAGAAAATGTTTACACTTTCGAGTCTTTTGACCCACTGGGAGACACATTTCAACTGGAAAATGGACTCAGAAGTGAAGAAATCGACTCGGGTAAGATTTATTGGGTCGGAAAATGTTGCAAGAACTAATCAAGCTATTTCAAAACATGAGTGGAACTTCTTAATTTTTAAAAAATTCGTCCCAAAATTTCGATTTGGAGCGATGCCTTTTTATGTGAGCATTTGAGAGTCCGAATTTTTTTCAGTTCCGATATTATTTGAGAAAAGTTCGATGAAAGCTCTGAAGCAATCAATTCAAGAAAAGTAAATATTCTTTGAACTCTTTCAGAATATTTGATTTCAGATAGTTGCCCCCTTTCCAAATGCTTATTCAATACTATATCTCTTTCAAAAGTTCAACATTTTACCGTAACTGAATGAGAAACTGACCACGAATCTCATTCTAAATAAGAAGAAAAAACGAGCATTTTCCCTACTTTTTTCAATCTTGGTAGTGCCTGGAGGGAAATTAATAATTTCTTTAAGTCTCAATTACAAGCGTATGGTAAACAGAAAATGTCCATTGTGGCAACATCAAAAAAAAAAATCACACCCAACTTTCCGATCTTAAAAGTTGAAGTATGAGAAAAAAAAGCAGAAAAAGCTCGGATCACATCAAAATCTTGAGTTTGAAGCGCTCTAGGGTGGAAAAAATGACAGTTGTCAAGGAATCGAAGCGGGCGGATTGGTCGAAAAACCGAAGACTGGCTGGTACTTCCTCGGCTACTGGTATCGCATTTCCGAAGTTTTCCCTCGTTTTTGTTATTTCAAAAATGAAACCTAGAGCTCAAAAGTCATTCTAGATATTTAAAAAGCGAACTAAACTGGCAAGTTTCATTGTCAAGTTGAAATTTTTGAAATTTTTTTCCGGGATGTGAAAATTTCTTTGAACTTTCCTTAAGCCCAGTTATAAAAGCAAGTCGTCTGGTTGAAATTTCACAGGACAAGGAATCAAGATTAAAAACTTTCTCCTCCTTTCTTCAATGATCACGACCTCTCGACAGTTTTGACGGATCAATCTGGCTGTCGAAGTGAGTGAGGGTGTAAACCGATAAGCGTGAATGATGGGCGAAGTTTCCTGAGGTTGCGCCATCTGTGGACAGAGGGCGAGAGGCGAGAACAATTAGGATGACGTCATCTTTAAATCTCCCCATGTGACGTCATGCGCCATGCTTCAAGATTGATGAATGTCTATATTGGAAATGAAAATGTTCCATTTCGAAATAAGTTTCAGTCTATGGATAAAATAGTTTTATTAAAGTTCAGATCTTTAGTGGAAGATGAACAGACGTTTTTATGAACATTTTGACGGGAAGTAGTCACTTTCCATCTGGAGTTCCCATCTGAACTTCACGACTTCTGCGCTCTGGCGACAACTTATTCTACACCCCGAGATCGTCCAAGCACTTAAACTGAAATTAGTGTAGACGAAAGCAGAAGAGGACCGTGATACCATGATTTTCACTCGATCAGCTCCTCGCTTAGAGTTCCCCAAATAAGGCTTAAAAGTCTTCTTCCCAGTTAATTGTTTTTTCTTCAAATGAAAAAAAAACGACGTAAAAATCAAATTTCCGTCGATAATTTCCGTCGATAACATTTGAGTGACTTTGGGAGTCGAATAGTTAGGATGAAAGTTTCTAAATACCCTATCCTAAGTAGCGTAACCGCAACGACCGGAACTACAGTAATACGGAAACGAGAGGCACAGGAACAACCGTATGGCGCAAGGTGTCACTGCCGTTCCGAGCAGGTGTGAATGTCCACTTAGTCGAACTGACAACAAGCACGTCTCCTCAGCAGTTGCTAATCACCATCATTAGAACTTGAAGAACTCTCAAAGTTTCCTTCTGGCAAAATACTCGTCAGGCTCGTCAAAAACGACTGCTTTGAACCGGGTCAATCATTGGAACAGCAGCACTTTTGGAAACGTTCCAGCGAAAATATTAGCTAGTTTCCGCTAAACGAAAATCTCGAGATTCAATGTATTTCATTTCTTTTTCATAAAAAATCGACCAAGTTTTTCAACCATTCCCTGACATTTCCTTCTTTTGCTTCCTTCTTGGATGGATTAGAACTGGCAAATTCAGTTCCAAAAAAATTTGCGACTCCATTGAAAAGTGTCGATACTTGAATGATGAATCACTTATTTAGTGGGAGGAGACCGCCGAAAATATGCCAACAAAAAACTGAGAGAAGAAGATCCTCAAAAGGCGAGCCGGCGGTTCTTTGACCTGATGGAAGAGCAGCGGTGTTCTGGCGGGAGTATCTACTTCATCCGTCAGTCGGCCTCTTTGTCTTGTAATCCCCACATCTTTTTCGGATAAACGACTGTAGCATTTTTTTCTGCTTTGTTTTCAGATCTGTAACCCGATACCGCCGTCTTGCGGAAAGTCGTTTGTCAGATGAGCGTACTGTAATTAACGCCGCAAGACATATTTCGAGACGCACGCCTTCAAATTATATGAGAAGCCAGAGGCCTTGAAGTCCGATGGATAGTTACTAATGTTTTACTGTTACCTAACTGTGAAGCGAAGATTTCATCCAAAACAAGATTATTATTCTGAAAGAGCTCTAAGAAACTTGCACTTTCTTCGATGCGCAATCGAGAAAAAAATCGTCTTCAAAAACACTTACAAACAAACGTGAGCTTGACAAATGGTCTTACCCATTTGAAAAAGATTTTTCGAAGTCAGAACTGCTTTTATATTCATCTATTATTTCTTTTCTATTTATTAACTTTCCGAACAGTCAAGAAAAACGTCGCCATCGGAGATTCTAACTTTTAAATGAAGAAATATTTCAAGGCGTTACGAGCTTATAATCTATCAAAGTTTTCACGATTATCTCCTACACTCAGACCGGATTCGCTCCCTCAAAGAAGTCTCCAACCTAGAATCGAAGAAAAAAGGTCGTAAGCAAAGGTTACAACGAATATCTACAGGTAACGGGCGTGTGGCACAAGCGAAAAACAACTGCGAGAGTGGGTCGAAAGCGGAGGAATCGCGCAGCAAAGAGCTGGCCTCTACCGTCGTCCGACCGTTGTGCAATCTCGAGATAGAGGCAGCTCTGCCGGCCCAGAAAACAATTTGCCGGCCTCGACATCGATCCGTCATTCCAGGCCCTAACTCTCATCATAACTATTAATTGCCTTGTTTTTGCTCTTCGATATAGGTACTGTAGATAACAAAACCTCCAGAAAGAATGGTCGAGTTGGCCAGTGAAAGAAAATAATAGATTCAGCTCATTGCTAGCTTGATGTAAAAAATTAGAGATTGGTGAATTTTCAGGAAGAGGTCCTGGAGCAACTGAGCGGCATGATTTCAAATCGATTTTTGTTAAATTCAGTGTCTTTAAATAAAAGTTGAAACCACCATAGTGAAATTATCTGCGGGATATAGAACGGAATGGCTTAAAAAAATCTGAAATTTTGAGAATGTTCTGGGAAAAAAAAAGAAATGTTTTCGTATAATTGAATGTCGCTAGATGTTGAATATATATTTCTCTTTTTAGCACTGAAAATGGCTCCAGAAACATCACTAAGTTTTTCAGAAGTCTTTAGAAAAGTTCGGAGCTCTAAATACGGTGAAACTACAAAGAATTTCAAACCGAAAAATTTCTTTATGCCTTCTACTAACTTTTTTAAACCTTGCAAAGAACGAAAAATATTCAGATTCTCAGGAAATAAGTTTCCCGACCTGAGCACAACTGTGCTTCGACATCTGTTGTTTCGGTCTGTCTGTCACTTGGCACTGTGGGTCACAGAAGTATTATGCAACCATTTGGTGGGACCGAGGGAAGAAATCGATGGCCGGTATTATACCACAGGTACGCTGGGACGGTGGCACAACCGGTAAACAACTCGAGAGGACTGATGGTCCCATTGGAAGATGATGTCAGCGTCATCGAGCGTCCAGATTCAGTGCACCACTCTGGATTGGAGTGAATTATTAAAAAAGAAAATGGAAATTTGATGATCATCTTGCAAATTGAAGCGAACCTTAGCTTGGAGCATTCAACAAGAAGGTGAAAAAAATACCTGCGTTTCGTCGTTAGAAGTCTATTTTTTTGCGTGTGAGTAAATTCCGTTTGCGGAAAACATCGAAAAAAAAAAATCACCCTTTTGAAAATTCATAAATTATTACAGTTATCCGAAAGTCCGCAGTCTACGGAACTACCAGAAGCACCAAAAGCACCCGATACGACGCCACACAAAAAATTCATTCTTCTTCCTTCTTGTTTTTTTTTTTGTTCTCTTTTCTTTTTATCTGTTTTTCTCATCACCAGGCTCTCTAGAAAAGTTTTTTTAGAATTACTTTTTGAATTTTTTTACAGAAGTGATACAGATTTGAAATAGAACATCAATTTTTTTTTTTTAAAGCGAAAGAGCCGGTTTATATTACTGTATCGTGGAAGTGATGTAAAGGTTAAAATTTTTTTGTTTCCAACGGTTTTTCCTTGAAAAATTTTCATTTCGCACGTGCTTCGTTGAGCGTTTCGAGAAGCTTCGTGATTCTTTTTTTTTTTGGTCGTTTTTCATTGAAAGCTCGGTTGGTTGGTTCGCAATTTGCATATACTTGCGTGATTCTTTCAGTGCTCGCGGCCAGATGGACTCGAGGGTGGACTGACCCCCATCTGCACCCTCCGCGCTGTTCCGCAATCTTTCTCAGCGGCGGTCATACCATCGGTGCGGCTTTTTTCCAGCCGGCTCCACCCATAAGCTTCATCTTTTTTTTTCATATATCATCGGTGCGAAGATCATGAAAACTGAAATTTTTTAGTTAGACGTAGCCTAGGATTTTTGCGCAAAACAACTTCCGCCAAAAACTCGCGAATAAATTCCCTTTTCTTTTTTATTTGTAGAGTTCATAGTCCGGAAATCTCAAAAATTGGTCTTAAACTTCACGCCTTCATATTAAATTTGTGTTTCTTTGTTCAACGAGCGAAAGATTTTAAAAATCATAAAAAGTTATATTCCTCTCATAAAAAAATGGATTTTGAAAATGTGAAAGGCTCGCATATTTTTTAAAACCCTGAAAATCGTTTCCTCTTTTCCTAACGACTTCGAGAAGTTCATCCATGCTTCTTTACACAATTTTTGAATAGACTTGTAAATACTTGTTATAGAAAAATTTATGAATACCAAAGAAACCAAGATCAACTTACACGCTCACTGGGAAGTTTTTTTTCGCGCGAAAGGTTTCTTCTAGATTTTTTTTCGAGCGTTCTTCTATACCTGTTACTTCAATAAACAGGCTGGGTGTTCAAAAAAGTAAGCGTATAGTTTCATGCCTCTTTTTGAGTTGGAGCATTAGAAGAGCCGTTTTCAATCGCTTCGAAACTGGAAGAAAAAAACCTTCTGACCCAATTTTCAGCCGCCTGTCGCGCGGTACTTTATCCACTTTTTCAGCGACGTCCGAAGCTTTTTGCGGCAGCTGGCCACCCAGTAACGCCTTTCCTATGCCCCAGAGCTGTTTGTTTTCGTGTTTTTGCTTCTTTTCCTGACTTCATCTTTGGCTTTCCGGCTTTTACAGTAGGAAAGCCTATTTCTATCGCCAAAGTGTTAGTTACTCGAAAAATAGTATCAACTACGCAACGGTATCTTATCGCTGTTGGCTGAGCCGCGTTTTGAGATCTAGACAATTGGAAGAAGTTTTTTTTTATCTTGTCAGTCAGGGGATCAAGTTATCAATGAGCGTCCATTTAGCTCTGAATTTTTTTATTCAGCTCCTAAAATGTTATATACTATATGTGCTGGGATTTTTAAAGGAGAATAAAAAAAGTAAAAAGAAAAAGTTTCTCGAAAAACCTTTCTCAGTTTTATTCTAGGTGTTTCAAAAACTACCATTGTTACCTCAGTAAAAAGTTCTTTAAACGAACAGTATTTGATGTCAAACTCAAAATTTTCTCGAAAACTGCGAAAATAATCGTATTCATAAGGGTTGAAAATTTGTTTTTATCTCCAGCGGCTTTTTTTTCTCTTTCAACTTCACCGTAACCATTTGTTAAGCGGACAAACAGAATGGCAGCGTGAAGATTGCGGTTGCATAACGATGGAGGAAGGAGAGAGCCGTACCATGTTAGGAGGTAGGCGGGGCTTGGCTGAGAGACGGTTGCACGGCGCGGAATGGTTGCGTCGTCCGCCATATGGAAGTCGTTTGTGGGCAGCTCCTTTCTCGAGCTCTCCACTACCTTCTTTGTCGCCTTCTCAGTCTGATAGGCTCGAGGTTCTTGTATACATGTTGTATATATTCTTGAACTTCTTTCATAAAAAAAGGCTGGGAAAGTTTTCTCCATTTCTTAAACTACCTGAGAAATAAAGCTATCACTATTTTCTCCAACTTTTTTTTTCCCTGTCCTGCAAAAAAAGATCTATATTTTTTTATCATCAGAAAATTTTTTTAGTAAGGCTACGTAGTATTTCAAGGAAAAATTGAATTTATACGAGAAATTCATGCATAGGAAAAGTAAGCAAAACGAAACATGGATTCCTAAAATTAGTTCATCTTTTTTGTAAAGCTCTTTTTGATTTTCGGAAAAACTGGTTATGATGAGTAATTTAATGCTCTATTTTTCTTCAAAAAAATTTTTTTAAAGTAGAAAAATCAGCATATCTCATTGAAGACCGACGTTAAAAAAAGAGTTCTCCCTCAAAATACTATGAAATTTTCTTGTCATCATAATAAACTGTCAACGGGCGATTTTTTTTTCCATATGAAGTTTATCTTTTTCTTTTCGAAGCTTCGTTATTCTTCTTCTTTGTTTGAATAAGCAAGAAAAGTTTTCTAAATTGGGAAAATTTTTTTTCTAATCCCGTTTCAATTTTTCGGAACGTTTTCTGAGAAAAATCCAAATTTACCAAGTATCAAATAAAGTTTTTAATTTCTATAGTTCTCAACTTCTATCATTTGGCACAACACCAACTTTCTTTCTTGTTGTCTATGTACCAAAGGACGCCTCTTTATCTCAACAACAAGACGTTTTACGACGCGTCCTGTGCCTACTGTCCCAAGCTGCGTTGCCTTGACCTAGCTCCCAAACTCCCAAGCGCATGACACATCTGTCGTTGACAAGGCAAGGGAGAGATAGAGAGAGTTGTCGAGAGCTGCTCTTGAGGTATAATTGCTGGTCTCTGCGTGCTTGCGGGAAAGTTGGACGCCTAGATCCCGAGCGTCTTATTGATGAGGTGTGCCAAAGGAATGACGCCGCCTCGATGTGACAATGATCCGTCGAGGCACCAATGGCTAACTCCGAGAAGGCGGGGCTTGCCGTTCGGGACCTGGTATCAAACCGATCTAGTCATTCGGGTGCTTCGGATTGTCCCGAGCTGGTCGCTCCTTCTTCTTCCTCTTGTTCCTTTTCTCGCGTTGTTTTTCGTTTATTCTTTTGTATCCCGATGTGGCCTGTTATAAGTCGAACTGTTTGCAGCCATGAGCTTAACGGGTCCGCCAGGTATACCGCCGTTAACTCTAGACATGTTCAACAGCTTCGTCGCTCAAAACTTTGCCACAGTTCCTCCTCCTCCGAATGTAAGTTTCATTCTAATTCTAGCACCTAAGTTATCAATGTGCTCAACTTGAAGCTTTTCTAACTTCTCGATGATCCAATGAAGTTTGAATCAAATTTTTCTGGATTATCTCTCGTCTTACATTTCGGTGCTTATCTCACCTCAAAAACTTGACAAAACTACTTTTCTGGTCTTTCAGTTTGGAATACTTGAGCAATACTATTCCATTTCTGTTCAGTGCTGTGAAAATAAATAAAACTTTGGAAAACTCAGGAGCCACAAGCGAAACGAGGACGTTATGACGCGTGGACCGCCAGCAGTGGAAGCAGTGGAAGCAGTCCCACACAACTCGAAGAGGCCCAAATGGTCAGTTTGAAAAAAAGACAAGATTCCCATACGCATGAACCTTTCAAAGAGCTTATAAACCAAACAATACAGTTTCTGAAGTAGGCGATTGTTACCCAATCCGCTCTCTAGAAAAATGGCGCCTTTGTGATTTGGCGGCCGCTCAATGGGTGATCAGTTTTCACGTAGTCACTTGAAACCCTCGACTATCTTGAACAAATAAACGAAAAACGGCTGACTTTTGAAGGCTTCGAATGCGGCCAACGCGACGGCACCTCCACAACGTCAGACTGGAGAAAGTGGCAGTGTTTCTGAAGACGAGTCTCAAAATTCCCGGGATGGACCGAAAGATGGTCAGTTTCACATTCAAAACATTCTCGCTGAAAATCATCACTTTTTGAACTTATTAAATCTCAATATTTTTCAGCTACGAACGCTCCAAGCGCTACAGGCTCAATGGAAAGCTCTGCAGTTCCTTCTCCCAAACCTCTTCCTTTAGTAATTGACCCGAACGAGTTGATTCACCAGGAATCCAAGTTCTACAGGTGGAAGAACACGAATGAGTCCGTTATTATGAGTCATTTTTTCAGCTTCCTGGAGTTTGACGAGACTTTCGAGAAGTGGAAGCGTCAGTACATGCATCCGTTCCGCGTCGCGTCTTCCGAAGCGCTTCGAGAGCCCGATGGAACCATCAACCAGACCTTCAAGTACCGCTACGTCGTCTTCCACTGCGCTCACTACGGCGAGCCTCGGATGCGCGGTCAGTTAGCTTATCAATGATAAGAAGGGCGCAGAATTGAGTAATTTATTGGGTCTTTGATAAGAAAAAAAAGAGAATGCTTTTTAATAGAAACTGATAGAAAAAAAGTTGGATCTTCCTGTTCGCGAGATGAACTTACGAGTTTAAAATAGGCATCGTATCTGAACTTGAGAGTTCATTTTCAACAAAACTCTTCTTGTTTCAACATTATTTTCTCAACACATCTCTGATTTCCAATAGGTGACGTCACGGCTCATTCTCAATACTCTTCTTTCGCGTTTTAAAATCAAGTACAGCCTTCGTATCAGCTTGATCTGCCCTAAAGAACGAATCGGTTATAAATCTTCTTGTGTTTTCTCAAAATTCAAATGACGTCACCAACGCTTCGAAAAGCTTTCCTTCTCGCAGCTCTCCATTTTTGATTGACTCAACACGGATTTTGACATTGTCGCCGTGTGTAGCGAAAAATGAGGAAAAAGGAAGATGGGCCTGCTGCTGGACGGCGATTGCGTAAACACACTTGTGCATTCGCAGATCAAAGCGGCGTAGGCGACACCGTATGCCGTGCCTCGACGTAGAGACGCAGGAGGACGGCAGCGCCCATATAGATCATAATTAATAATCGCCGAATCGGCATCTTCTTTGGAGCTCAACAGAGACGTCGTCTTGCAAAAGTTATGTGGCAGCATGGCGTCCTCTTTCTTTTGAGTATGGTAGATCATTGTGTCCATTAGAAGTCTCCAAACCTACTCTTCGCTCAATTTGGCATACATTGAATGACTCATAGTTTAGCTTTTCCATCAATTCTATTGCATACTGCTACTCTCCGGATGTTTCTTTTCGGAAACAGATGTCCCCATCAGGATTTTTCATTAGTTGACTTGTCAACTAGACTGTGAAATTGTCATTTCGACTCCTGAAAATGAAGTGATTGCACCCTGCTGGTTGTACAGACCGCAATTTCGTCGTCAACCGTACATGTTGGTATTCGGAGAGTCGCCTCTCCTCGATTCGCGTGCTGTTTCGTGGTTGGCAGCCAGCTGTTGCGCGAATGCTCCACGCGCTTCTCAACACGGTAATTAAACGTGCGGAGGACGACGTCTTCTGGATGACCAACAGCCGTTTGGCATATTTTTTCTGCCTGGAAGGAGAGGCAGAGAAAAAAAAACTACTAACTGCGCGCCAACCGCAATTGTGCACCTGTTGGCTTCACTGTGACGTCTCAACTATTTCGAGGCATATAATCGCAGATTCAGAGTCAAGGTCGACTTGTTTTCTTTTCTCCGGAAAAGTATTGAAGACTGTGTTTTATTTGGAAGCAAAAATTAGCTAGAGGTCCTTCTTGTGTCAAATATCCACTTCTCACTTGGACCCCTGCTGAGACTTTTTTTTTTCTTGACGATGGCTGTAACGGCGTTTGAGGACATCACGCTGCGAAGACGTGACATTTGTTTCTGTATTTGGTGAATCCGTGAATTTCGAAGACGACAATTTATCTTCGGGCAGATGTGTGCACGGTGTGAGGTTGCGTGTGATTGTCTTTAGTTGGGATTTGAGTGAAATGCACCGGGCTCTCGTCACTGTTTGAAATTTGGTCCTTATAAATTCAAGAATTTTCATCAAATCATTCTTCTTTTTCAGTTGAGATGAAGAAGATATGGAATAATTTTGCATATAATAAATTAATTATTAATTTTTCTGCTTAATTGGGTTCACTCTTGTATCTGGCTACCATTCTTTGGCCGCCTTTTTCTTTTATGACGTCGCGGATTATGCCGCCACGAGAAAAAAAAACAGTCACACAGCTGCTCGGTGTCCTATTGTGAGAACGGCCGACCTCTCGTGCTCATCCTTTTGTGTAGATCCGAGGTGGCTGTTGCGCACCTCCTCAAATCGTTTATGTGGCTTTCCTGGTTATTAGATGCTTGATAAATGTGAAAACCTCGCAAAAATTTCTATTTTTATTTTGATTAAAAAAAAACTTTGATAAAAATGAGTTTGATTCAAAATCTCTTGGGGAAATTGGAAAATTTTCATCAACGCTCGGGTACAATTTTCAAAAACGTCAGCGAAAATATTCAAATTTCTTCTCGCGAGACGGCTGCTCGCTGTTGCGGCTCGAGAACAAAGACTTTCCCTTTTATGGACATTTCCGAGAAGGCGCCTGGTGCCAGCAGGGCTTGGCATGTCGAAGAGTTAGCTTTTTGAATTATCTTTCGAAGAAAAATAAGGTTCTACTCTGAGCTTGTTTCAAATAGTAAAGAGAAGAAACTGCAGCCTTTTTTTCATTTCGAATTGAGTCGTGACCAAAATTGTTTTAAAAATTGCAAGATCTTTCAAAAAGATGAGAGAGATTTAGTGCTTCTCTTGGTGTCTTATCTCGACTTGACTGGTCCTAAATGAGCTCAAACAAACGACGTGCTCATTCCGTCATGTTGAGATTAACATCACCCCACAAGGCCAGTATTAATTACCCGCAATTATCCTCTCCATTGAGGATACGGTAATCGAAGCCTTGCTACAAGATTTACTTATCCTCAATTGAAAGTCATGGAAAATACGTAATTTAATGAAGTAAAACCGGGAGGTATAAGGAGATTTAAACTGAACTTTTTCCTAATTTTTTCTTTTTTGTTCTGAAAATTATTAATTGAAAAAAATTAGCTTTTTATTGAGTTTCGGAGCGTTTAGTTGTTTTCCTCGTAGATTAAGACGTTTGCGGCGTCCAGCGGTGGGCAGCTGGCACGTTTTTAATCTACGAGTTTTAATGCGCTGTGGCCCCTCCTTGCGATATGATTTATGGCGCGCTGACCATCGGAAGAAGCCATCGTGATTTTTTGACAAATATCTTTTTCAGGAATCGGAAAACGTCCCAATCAGAACTACCTACCATGCGGATGCGGAGCCATGTTGCGTCTCAACTACAGCTTCAACGATAAGGTTAGAAAATATCAGAAATGCAAAACTTACGATGATTTTGCAGTGTCTGAAGATCACCACCTTGAATCCGATCCACAACGGCCACGAAGTCTCGATGGAGATGTACTTGAAAGTCGCCCAGAAGATCCGCCGCAGCGTCGCCGCCGATCACCGTCGCGCTTCCTCCGGATTCGCTGTCAAGGCCGAAGAGTCGCATCAGACGACGCCGTCGCCCCTGTCGCAACGCAACGCGGCGACTCCCCTCGGCGACCGCAAGCCCCAGCTGCCGACGGCTTCTGTCATGGCTCCTCCCGCGGCCCCAGTCGCCATGAACCTGATGCAGCAGCAGTTCATGCAGCAGCAAATGGCCTTCGCCGCCGCCGCCGCTCAGCAGCAACAGGCCCAGGCCTCGGCCTTCTCGCCGGCCCTCGCCTCTTCCCAAGTCACCCAGATGGCCATGGCTCAGTATCTCCAGCAGTACCAGGTATACTTTTGTCAATTCGTTGGCGATTTATTGAAAATTAGTATTATCATTGAACAAGGGTTTTAGTTAGATGATATCCTGTTTGCTCAACTTAAACAAGAAGTCTGGATTTTTTTTGAATCACATTATCTCATGCATGATTGAAAGAGAAATCGAAACAATTGTACGAAGGATTATTGACAAGTGTTTGCAGATGATCCAGTACCTGACTCAGCAGAAGGAGAACATGTCGAACGCTGCGGCGGCAGTTGCCGCGGCTGCGTCTCCGGCTGTCCCCTATCCGGCGCCCGCTTCGTTCCCGTCTTCTTCGTCTGGATCGAAGAGGCCCTGGTCCGCCGTCGTCGCCGCGTCTCCCGAAGGAACGGCCACCGAACAAGCTCAGCAGACTTCCTACGCTTCTGCGCCGCTTGCCGAGTCTGTGGTTCGTTTTTCAATCTCATTTGAATTATTTCCTAGAATTTCTGATCTCAGTTATGCCTCTTTCAGTACATCCGCCCGCCATCCAACTTGCCGGCTCCGATCCCCATCCGACCTGCCGCCGCTCCTGTGGCAGTGGCCGCTCCTATCGAGAGTCCGCCTGTCTTGGAGGCCCAGAGAGCTCAGGAAAACGTCGAAGTTCAGGTTGGTAATCAATAAATCGGTTTAGTCTGATTCTTTGAGGGAAAATTAAATACGGACATCAAAAAAGCTTTGAAAAACTTTTACCACATTAAAAACCTATTTGATATTATTAATATTAACAAAAATTTAGCCCGTTAAAACTTTTTTCTGCTAGATATTGAGTTCATCTTTTTCTCTCATTTTTGTTCAATTTGATTGATGGCTGTGTTCGATTAAAATGAATCTAGAAGATGATACTGAACTCATAAATTTGCAGAAAGAGACGGAACGACCGTCGCAATCGGAGATTTCTTCTTTGTTGGCCGATGGCCAACGTCTTCTGGTCACCGGCGACGAGACGACGTCGCGCACTCGCATGGAGCAACTTCGCGCTCTCATCACGCACTGGGAGCAGTGCTAAAGTCTTTTAAGTGATTCATCAAAGGCCTACGGGTTTCGAAAGCGAAAGCTACTTTTTTTCTTCCCATTACGCATTTTTCGTATTTTTTTTCTTCGTGTATGTTGCCGTTTTATTTTTGTGAAGAGAAATTATCCGAAAAGGCCCAGCCGCGATTTATTTTCCAAAATATTTTCAGAGAATATTTGATCTGGCGGCTCAAATTCTCGGCTTATTTTTCTTCACTTTATATTGGCAGAATGGTGTTTGAAGAGTTTACTTCAATCTCTGAGCTTTTTTCTCCTAAAATCACTCATCCAAACGCCATTTTGGTAGTATGTTTCTTGTTATTATATAACAACAAAAAAACAATCAAAAATCGCCCAAAAAAATCTATAAAAAAAGAAAAACTTATTGCCACGGTAATATCAATCCAAAAAAATCCCACTCTTATCCATTTCTTGTTCTGATTACGTGTACTCATTGAATGTCCGCCTGCCGATTTGCTCAATGTATGGATCCGTTTTACCGCCGGGATTAATGCAATAACTTGTGCGATGCTTTCGCGCAAAATGTACTCATCATACATGCTCGAAAGCATCCTCTCCTCCTTCATGTCAAATCTTTCTGAGCCCTGAATAGCTTTTAACCTAACAATGCGATGTATACTCTCTCCGGTATACCATTACCGTTTCAACTTAAACGAGCCTTAATCGCCCAACAAATCAAACGAGTCTTTTGTGTTGTGACTGTACCTTCGTGTACCTCTGCCTATATTTCTTTGAGCCAAAGTGCCTTGATGCCAGCTTCTTCGTATTTCCTCCAAACTTGCAATGAACAGGTTGCTTCTCTTCATATATTTCCTTCCTTTGCGCCAAATTGGCGAATATTCAACTTTTTTGTTGTAAGTCTTGGTACCTCATTTGGTAAATTGTTGATTCTGTGCCACCTGTTATGGCTAATAAATTGGAAAAAAAAAATCTGTTTATTTTTGAACAAGGTATGAGATCTAATCAATTCAGAATTAACTTGAAGGAACAGAAAAATCATACAAACAACAAAATGTCCATATTGCATTGAATTATTTACAAAAAGTTACCCATTTCAACGAAAAATAACTCATTATTAATGAAGTTAGGAAGTTTCGGAGGACGATTCGATATCCAAATTTTAATTATTAAGAAAATTTTCATCAACTTTCAAAAAAAATTTGAGCGGACATCTCAAAATTACTTTCCCCAATTCTTGGAAAATGTTTTTGTCGAGATTACCAATAAATAAGCTCCGTTTCTTAATAACCCAGTAGTTTTACAAAATAAATTCAAAGAGAACCTGGAAAAAAAGCTTTAGGAAAAGCATTTGATGAACTTGCGAACTAAAGATGAAATTAAAATTTTCTCCATTTTGTCATTAAATGTGGAAGAAAAACAATATTGAAGAAATGCGATCGGAGTTTTTGGGTGAGGCCCTCAGTAGAAAACATAACTTCTGGGCTTTTTGTTTTTAAATTCGAAAAATTCCGTTGATTCTCCGTTCTGCGCCCATAACCTCATCATGCTTTTTTTTTGGATTTCCCAAAACTTTGGTTCATCAAATTTTCCAGGTACCCGATAAATGTAAGCGCAAGTTATATGCTTTGAAATGACTTTTTCTGCGACAAAATCCGCGAATCTCTGCTGTCGCACCTCGTATACGTCGTCGTCACCGATTGAGATCGCCTGAAATTTCGCGATTCTCTAATCGATTCGCTGAGAATCCTCACTTTTCATCCTTCACCCCATATTTGGCACGTAAAGTCGTGAGGAGCCGTCGGCGGAAGTTGGAGGAGCTGAGACAGAAAACGACAAAGTTCAGGCTTTTCCCAACGACCACCAGGAACGAGGTGATGGTGGTTAGGTTGTACCTGAAATAGGTTATTCTCATTAATTTGGAAAGTTTTAAAAACAGACCAATGAGGTTTGAAGGAGTCTTGCCATAAAGAGTTAACGCACAAAACGACGGCCGACGGGGCCTGGAATACATTTATAAATTAAAAAAAGAAACGTGCAAAGAATAGTAGAGAAAACTTCAAGGTTTCAGTATAGCCTGTGTCACACACAGGCTGTGTGCCACGACTTGAAATTTCAAGGAACGACATTCCGCTGTTCCGCCGCGTGCTTTTGCGAAGCGTCTTTCGAATCTAGGTCACGCTTTCAATACATTGTTATTGCTGTGGGAGCACATGAAAGTAGAGTACCTTAATAAAAGAAAAAAAAAGTTAAAAGCGCGACCAAGGTTCGCAAAGGCGCGCAGCGGCACAGCGGAATGTCGTTTGGTGAAATTTCGTGGTACACAGGATATAGTTTCTGTGTTTTGGTGAGGACGAAATAAGGTTACGTTCAAATTTCGTGAAAGATGCTCGAAAAATCTAAAGAATGTGAAAGGTTTTGAATTAATACTTTCATTTTATTAAATCCACTCACCGCTTCGGAAAAAAGTATTACAGATACGTCTAAATCTCTTCTATATATTCGCACATTAGACCTGAGTCATGTCTCATTTTAGCGGTGAACAACTCCTACCAGTTTCGATTTCTCACAACCATAACTTTCTCGAGAAGGAATTGTTTGAGAATGGATCCAAACTATCGAGTTGAAATAAATGCCAACCTGAGTTATCGTGAAGGAAGTTACGACGGCACACACTGTGACCGCTACCCGATGCTCTGTTTTCTGCTGCAGAATCTGAAAACCTCATTTCGGAATGAAAAGCTAGAAGCCCTGTGCAGCAGAACAAAGTGCGGTGTTAGTGATGAAGAACGACCACAAAAATCACCACAATATATTGAAAGATTGTCAAGAAATGAAAATGGAAGACAAAAAGTTTGAACAGAAAAAGTGCGAGATAGACAGCTTCGATGCCTAGGAAAGGATAGCTTCTCATGAAAGGTTGCAATAAGTTACTGTAGGATTACAGTAACCCATCTTTGCAAGCGAGTGAACTTGACTTTTCATTCAGTTTACCTTTGTCTTCTTATCGGTGATGCTTTCGTAGTTTTGCTGTATTTGTTAGTTATAAAATGAAGGTGATAGGTATCTTTTCTTTTGATGAGTAATTTTCGAGTCATTGATTTTTTATCAGACTGGAAAGGTGTACCTGATCGGAGTGCCTTCTGAAAAGCGTCGAGACGAAGGGAAGAGCCGCCTCGCCCCGTTTTCGCATTCTCGCCGACACCTTGCCCAGCGAAGCGTACATGAAGAACGATCCAAAATAATTCATTCACATTTTTGGAGCAAGATTAACACGAGAGCTTGAAAAAAATAAGTGAAAAAAATATAAAGCTAAAAAAACTAAAAAATACAGTGACTGTCATTAATTTAAACCGAAATTTAGGATTTTGATATTTTTTTACGAATTTATTTTTTCTTCATTTTGGAAAAATCGAAATTTTCTGAACGAAATCAGGTGAAAAAATAGAGGTTCCTCGTTTAGAATTGAGGAAAACTTGCTCAAAATAATTTTCGGTCCTTTCATTTACCATTTTTCGAGTTCTAGGAATATTTAGTACCTTTTCTTCACATAGTAGAGTAGCAAGGCGTTCAGTGTGACCAGAAGGATCAGAGGTAGAAAAACGACAAAAACCGCGTTCGCCGCCCTGGTCCAAGCCACGTAGAGCCGTAATGCCGGTGGCGCGAAATTTGTTCGATTTCCGGGCCAACTAAAACTCGGCAGTTAAATTTGACCAGGGGAGAAAAAAACTGACACATTCATGTTCACGTCGAGGCAGACGGCCATGATCTGCGTGGTGTTGCAGAAAGATTTGATGAAACAATGATGAGAAACGTGATTGTAGAACGTCAAAACTGCGCAAGAAGATAACAGGATGGCCAGGCCTGAAACCGCCGAGAATGAGAATAAAATACCTTGAAATTGCCACCTGAAATCAATTTCCTCCTAGAAGGCGTCGTCAGTTGGTGCAGTGGAGACCTAACGCCGACCACTCTTTCGAAACAAACGCCTACGACGAGCCTGAAGATTCTAATGTTGTTTGAAGTGAAGGTTGACTCGAGAACCATATTGCGACCGCAGAACTCCAATTGGCAAATGCGATCAGGTGTATTTTAGATGGAAGGTAAAGGTAGCGGAAAGTGTAGTTGAAGGCGAACGCGTCGAAGTTGGCCAGCGAGTGGGGAATTATCAAGAGCAGGAAAGAAATGTCGCACACCGCCAGGCACGTCAAGAATATGTTTGCTCTGAAAAAGGAATAGAATGGTGAGTTCAAAAGTAAAGTCATAAAAGGTGGAGAACAACTTGATAGTTTCAAAATATAACTGCTTAAAAAACTGGGAAATCAGTGTAAAGCTTCCAGAAGCTGAATCTTCTCTGTCTAAATGTCTGTCTACATAGTCTAGATTTGCTCAATCGATTCGATAATTTACAAGAAAGAAACCTGGACATGAAGTCGTTGCTGAGCAGAACCATGATGGTGAGCCCATTTCCAATGAGGCCAAAAAGACAGATTGGAGGGAAAAGAGCCGTATAAAGGAAGGCTTCGAAGGAAGAGCCCGACAGCCGAAGCTGGCTCTCCGGAAGACACAACGAACTCGAATCCATCCGCTACTTCACATTCGATGGTTCCTTTCTCGTGAAAATGGTCTTTTGAAGGAACCTAGTCTCGTTTCGGATTCAATACTGTGTATCTGAAATGAAAAGCAACTTGCAAATGAAGTTGAAAAAAGTTTTTTGTGAAGAGAAGAAGCGAAAAATGAATAGAGATAAATGTCACAAAAATAAATCAGACTTCATATTTTTTTTTGCGATATCAATTGAAATTTTTGATAAAACTTTGTTAACATAATAATTGTGACTTTCTAGAAAAAAGGTTTCAATGAGACTAACTCCGATAAGACAACGGTGAACCGAGTAAATCTCTCGAAAACGGAACCAAATGAAGTTTTTTGGTAAACGGATACAGCATACAATGAAACGAGGGAAAGTTTTGTGAGATTAGAACCATCCCGGCGACCTTTTGTGCAAATAATCGGCTCGACACCTTGTCTGAGCGCGATTTATAAAATCAGAAATCAGAGGCGGACCAGACCGAAGCGAATCGGAGGCACGAAAAGAACAACCTACAGATATTTCAGTCCGATTGCAAGTTTGATTGTGAGCTTTGATTCGGCTTCCAAGATACGGTAATGACATTTTCAAAGACAGGTGATATTATGGATGGAAATTGGGTTTGGAAAAAAAAAGTTTTGCAGGTGTTCTTTTTCCATGGGAGTGAAGAGAGCGCGCCCTGAGACGCAAATAAATTCGAATTCAATGAATGTAACTGCAAAGTTTGAGAATCCTCAAAAGGCAGCTTTTGCTTCTGGAAAACGAGGAAAAGATAAATTTTCTGCGGATGAAAACAATAAACAAACAGAACGACAACGAGATCAGCTATCAGAACACGAATATGGCGAATGAAACCTCAAAAGAGTGGAAGATGGTAAATAAAAACAAAGGAAGTAGAAAGCTCATCTTTATTTTTGCAAGTTGCAGAAATAGGATGAAAAAAGTGATGAAGGAATTCCAGAAATTCCTAAAGAAAAATATCCAAAACACTTTGATGTGCTAGAGGAATATTCTAGAAGTCTCAAGCTACATAATTTAATATTTCCCGAAGACGGACGCCTCAAAGGTCGCTTTCCTGAACTTTGGGCGATAAACTAGAATTTGAGGCATCCGTTCTCGAATATCCAAACAGGATGAGATTTTCAGGATTTTCAGGATTTAGCAAAACAAATTTCTGACTAGGAAATAGAAAGAGTTCACTCATCAGGTGAAGCTGGAATCAAAAAAAATTGTTTCATACATCAGACTTGAAACGCCTGATAATGAGGTTCCAAGGTTACCTTCTTGAAAGTCATCTCGTTCACTTTTACGCGATCTGACAAATACTTGTATCAAAAAAATTACTCGATTGACTGAGCCTCCAGCTCGCTTTTATGCCCAAAGGGGTCAGAAAACTGCTCAGACCACCCCGATGCCAAGAAAATTGCACCAGACACCAGAGATGGCCGCCTTTCTTTCTTCTTTTTTACGTAGGTGTTGACGGGTCACTGCCGCGATTCGACCGCTGAGCTAATTTGCAACTGAGACAAGACATGACAACAAAAAGTGGCGATCATTCGGAACAGAAGAGCTGCCAAGAAGACCTTTAAATAAAAATAATTCCTTTCTCTGCCAACTTTTTCGCGGCTTCTATTTGTTTTGGCGTCGATGACGCGTGCTTTTCCCTGAGCTTCTACTGATTTCTGAAGGAGTTCAACGATCAGAAGGGCTCTAGCCGCGAGCGACGACGCCTTGATGAAGTTATCCGAAGACTGAGAGAATATAGCCTAGATAATTGTGTCGCAAGGAAAACGGTGGATGACAAAAAAAACCTCTGCAAGGTAGCTCTTCGCGCTCTATTGATAATTTCCCGAAAGAGATCGAATCAGAGGAAATGTTCGATCCTTTTCAAGTTTTTTTTTCAGGGGGCTAGAGCTGTTAATTCATGTATCAAAAAAGTTCAAATCCGAGAATTGAAATGTGTTTTTCAAGTCCTTATTAGAGCACAGAAGCTCACTCATCAAAAATCGTTAGCCGTCGAAAGTCTTTATCAAGTGTTTTTTTAAATATATAAAAACACCTTTTTGCTACGTTTGAAAAATTGAATTTTATCTCGAAAACGTTCAAGTTAATGTTCGAAAAATCCTTGTTTAGAGATGCAAAAAAAGTTTTGCGTGGCCTAAGTTACACTGAAAATGGATCTTTACCTTGAGACCTTCAAAACAATTAATCTATGTAGACAAATTGCAAAAATAGCTTTTTCAACAGACCTCAGTAACCTCTTCAAACATACAGGAACTCGAAAAAATCATGAAAAATTCAAGCCGAGTGAAAAAAAGAGGAACTGAGCGGTTTTTGATGTGGCTAAACATATATCCCAAAAAAAAAGCCGACAAGCATGAAGGCAAACAGACAAAATATTGTGAATGTTTCAAACGAAATCAGTCGGCCTTCTAAATAAGTCAATCTCTTTTTTTTTCTTGACGCCTGGCAAGTTGAGCTTCTCCTCCTCCCATTTGTTTTTGTTGCAAATAACGCGTGCTTTTTCACGCCCTGCTGTTTTCTTCTAATTCACTTCAAGCTGAGAGGTTCAACAAGATTTCTCAGATTGACAAGGTTCGACGTTTTCAATTTTCCGAAGGGTTTGGATGAGAAGGAAGTGAAACTTCGGTTGGAAAATGTCAAGAGTTTGTAGAAGATTGGAAAACATCTGGAACTTGATGAAACATTTTTTTAAATCTCCTGCCTGTCAAAAGCAAGACTTTTTCCAAACTTATATGAAACTGGTGTAAGAGATAATTTGACAAAATGAATCGACAATTTGATTTTATTTTCGAGTTTATGGTGACTTTTGAGGTTAAATATTTCAATCTGTAGCTTGTTTGTAAATTTTTTTGATTAATATGTCAAAAAAATAATAGACATAAGTCGGAAAGGAATCCAGGCGAAATTCTGTTTTTCTGTGATATTTCACGTCCACAGTGCCTTCAACACCTTGAAAAAATCAATTGAAAAGACTTTTTTATCGTTTTTTTGAAGGAACAGGGAGGATCTCAAAATTATCGATTCAAATCGCGATTTTACTTTAACGACTGAAACCCTGACCAAAAGTGGCGCTTCAGAAAAATACTATAAACGGTATAGAAAAGTAATAGAAATTCTGAGCTAACACGAATATCCGAAAAAAAAACAAATATTTTGAAATACACCGGAACTCAAAAAGATGAACAACGGTTCACGTGGACCTTCCTGGTTTTTTTGCTGCTTTGCCCACGATGCAAAAAGGAATGGCTGCTTCTTTTTTTGATGTCAGCCCCACGGGACGTCGTCATGAGATTCTTCGACAAGTTCAAAAAGGGATTTCCTCTTTTAAACTTAATTTAAAATTCAATGAAAATCTTATTTTCTTGAACTCTAAATTGAGCCTTGTCTCGTGAACTTGAATTGGCGAGATAGTAGTCTTTTTTCCCTCCGTGCCGCTTCTCGTGGAAACATATCAACTTTGCGATTTTTTCCTAGGATTAATAAATATTAAGGAGAGACGTCAGGTGAACTTCAAGGTCTATTCAGACTTACTCAAAAAAAAACGTCAAATGAACTTTTTTTGATGGCTGAACTAATAGAAGAAATGACGTTGACGCCGGTGAAGAACTTGATTGATATGACCTCACCTTGAGGGAAGCACCGTCAGATTTCTACAGCGGTAAATAACTCATTAATTATTCTGCAACATCACTGCTCCATAACATTTGCATTTCATTTCAAGTTGAGAAAGACTTTGAAAAACATCAAAATGAGGAGATTTCTCAATGAGGAACAAAAAAACGAGAAAAATGACCTCTTACTTTCTTTTCCTTTCCTTTCTGGATAGGAGAGCGCTTAATTGCCATCGTTGAAGTTCAATTAAGAAGAGAAACAGAAGCAAAAGGAAACTCCAACGATTCATAGGTTTTTGACCAGCCAAGGTTCTTAGAACGAAAATATGCGTTCTTCTGAGAAAAAAAGGCTGAAAGCAAACAGTTGCCGGATTCTGAGCAGTCTGAGAAGATATTTCGAATCAAATGAGTTGCAAAGAACTGAATATGATGAGAGAAGGACGAAATCTTTGGAAAGGTGTTGGCGCGGAAAGAGAAGCCACCCTCGCCGACAACTGAATAAAGAAATTTTTTTTTGCTTTTTTTTTTGCAAACTAAGAGACTCTAGGGTCAGAGTACAGAGTAGAACCGAAAGAGGAAGTTCTAAAACTGAAAAAAAAACGCAGAGTTAACTGAAACAATTTGTATAGTTGACCAGACCTTTTTTGTCAAAAAAAAAAAAGGATTTTTCTCAATTCAATTATAGTGTTTTTTCAACCTTTATCGTGTTCTCGTCGTAAATAAGAACGGAAAAAAAATTTATCAATTTTTTTTTTTTATAGAATAGATCAGTCAGAATAATCTTCAACTCAAAAATTTTTTGAAATTGAAGGTTTTATCTAGGATGAATTGTATTCGATTGAAAAATAGCCAACGCATGTGAGGAAGGTTTTTAGCCAAGGATTAACCACAAAAATATCACCCGACTATACAATTTTTCGTGGATATTTTCGGCTTTGCGATTACAAGATTTGTAGTGATTTTTGTTCTACTCTTTTTTCAGTTCTTTTTTGGAAGACGCAAAAATCCAATTTCGTGTCTTTAACTCTATTTTTGTCTTTTCTCTTCGCATTAACTCAATTTGCCTATAAAATGATATTTCCAAACCAGATCTAAGCTTTCCGTTTTAAATTTTAAAAAGAAAAAAAAAGAAAAAAAAAGAAAAAAAAAGCAAAATGAATTCAAGAACATTTTGTTTCTAAACTCTGCCTAGACAAGGAACTACTCAAACTCATCATAATGTGACAAAATACGTCAATGGCGACTTTTTCTACTCCAAAACATCTGCTGAACTCATATATGCAAGACAATTCTACTTTTACATCAATAAACAAGTAAAAGAACATCTTTTTGTTTGTCTTATCTTGTTCGTGAAATCGA